CCACAGAAAAAACATTAACAGGACTCTTCTTTCATTTTTGCATCGCTCTGTTGGCTATGGCAGCTGGTCCTAAACTGCAGGGCACTAAACTACAAAATTTCTTATATCCTTAACCAAATTGAATGCCATCAGGTACTGTCAATCAGTTTTTGGATGATAAACCTGAAAACATTGACAAAAAAAAACATTTTTCAACGTTGTTGACAAATTAATTGTTTAGAACCCAGAAAACCCCTATCTTCAAGGAATTATCATCTACATTAAGAACAATAAAAGAATGCCACACTCCCTTTTGTGGAAAGTAATTTGAATAATGGAATACTTGTAATGTATCTATTTTTAGACATCAGGTACAACTCCCAGTTATAAAGTTAATTTCTGGGTTAAACGCTATTAACTGACTAGCAGTCCTGGTGAATAGCGTGATATCCTTGTCTCTCACTATTGTAGGTAAATGGGTCAGGTGACAAATTTTGTCTCGGACCCATTGCCAGTACTTTCATGAAAAGCACAAAATACACAGCAAAACTATTATATTTAATTCTTAATGTGAAACTACGGGTACACTTAGATGCACTGTTGCATAAGCAGTCAAGAGAATACATTAATGAGGAGTGTAATAGTAAAACATCCCTTGAAGGGTGTGATCTGAAGACAGGAGAAATGTGTTGTTTACACAAACAAAATGTAAAGAAACTGTACTGTACCATTTCACAAAATCCCAGGTCAAATCTAACCTTATTTTTAGACTAAATGAAAGTGGCCTTTTTATTAATTGTGAAAATGTTGGTGTTTAAATACATATTTTTTATGGTGTGTTTGAAAATGTGTTTTTCCTTATGTTATACACAATGTTATATCATAATAACAGGATCATATATTTTTTCCATAGCGTTAATTGGCTTCCATACATTATCTGCCTTGAACACCAGGAGTATTGTATTTCTTGGCAAGCCTGGATCTGAGTCCAGCTCATTGGTCCCATTCATAGCATGCACCATTAAATGTTTAATAAATTATTTTTCCTTGACTGACCTGTGAACCATGGCTGCCTTTGTTCAGTTTCTAGCAGGATCCAAAACATTCTGTTGTATTGAATTATTCATTTACTTATCAGAATGTATTTACAGAAGACAGATCAACATGTCATGCATTCCAAGCATGTTCTCATCTCCTGAGAAGGGAAGGGATGTGAACTCAGAATTCACTAATCAAACCCACTGAGATTTGGAGCCAGGCTATAACTTTCATGACCTAGAACTAATTGCATCATATGTGTCCTTAATTAAACTAATTTACTGGTGCTTGCTTTTTAAGAAATAAAGTCGTATCAATCTACAAGTCAATAGTGTGTGTGATTGCAATGAGAGGAAAATAAAATAATCTTTGTTAAGAGCAATTAGCTCTTGTATATTATTGAAAAACATCAGTTTCCAGTAGTTTGTTGTTTCATTTTGTTGTGCTCCCTACTTGGCCTCATAAAACAAAGTTGAAGTTATTCTGAACATATTATAAGAGTTCTGTGTTCAGGTAAAAGCACCGAATGCTAATTTTCCCTTTCTTCCTCTCTCGCCTCTGTCATGACAGCTTCCTGTGCTTCCTACAACTTTTCTTTTCTCAGTCCTCAGGGTCTAAACTTCTCCTCTCAGACCTCTGCTCCCTTCTGGTCAGGTACCTGTCTTCTCTGCTCTGAAATGTCTCTCTGTTGCTTCTTCTGCTAATGATAGGCTTCTTGGTTTAAACAGGGTTAAACCCATGACAAGTCCACTATTTTCTCCAGTCTTTTTGGTGGGAGGAGATAATGTGTGGTTAGCACTTAATTCACATCTTTTACTTTAATGTCTTTTGGTCCATTTTCTGTATTTTCATTTTAATACAGATGAGGGTTTGAGGGATTGTGGCTTATGGAGGAATAGGCTGGAAGGTTTCTAAATGATGTGTATTTCATTAATTAATACAGACAGAACTGAGTCCTCTTTTGAATCGGGTATCCTTCCACGTCCAATTAAAACAGATGTAAACTGTTAGCTGAATGTATTCTTGAGGTCATAACAGCCTTTTTACTTTATTGGCAAAAATGGTAGGGGAAAGAGAGAATTGGCCATTTATAAGACAGTTAACATTGTGGAATTTAAACTGGAATTCATTTCTTATTTTAAAAGTTTTATTTTATGAAAGGGCTCTAGCCAGGATTCAGAAACTAAATACTGAACACACAAGTCACAAAAGCACTGTATAACATCCTAAAGGCAGTCTCTTCATTTCTGAACTCTACTCTGCAGTGTTTACACCAAGAGCCATTGGAACAGCTGTAGCCAGGTACAATTTTGCAGCCCGTGACATGAGGGAACTGTCTCTGAGGGAAGGAGACGTTGTGAAAATCTACAGTAAGATTGGTGGAGACCAGGGCTGGTGGAAAGGGGAAGCCAATGGAAGGGTAAGTCACTTTCCTGTGCAGTTCTGTCAAGTGTTATGTTTACTTTTATGATCATTATTCCTACAAAGAATAATTACCTTTACATCTTAGAGATCATGAATAATTAAAAATCAATCTTGGTTGCATTTGCTTTCCAACTGAGATGAAAACAAACATTCGTGGGAATACCATTGGAGACTGACACACAGTGCAATTTCTTAAATTAAATAATAACCTCCTTTAATAATGTGCTACATATTGTGCTGCATATAGCGGTGTTCACACTGTATTGATATGTCACAAAGGGAAGTTATTGGCTGTAATTCATTTAAAATGAAATTGGAAAACGAGTGACCAACAAAATTGTGATCAACAATAATGCTTAGTGTGACAAGGTATGTGATTGCTGTGATACAGATCATGCAGCATGATCTCTTTTTACAATTTACAGTTTATTTGTAGGCACCAGTCAAATTAGTCCTGAAGGTCTATCGTCCTTATCATGTCATTCGGTTTGTGAGCATAATGATGGACAAGAATAATGTTAAAATAAAGTCTTAATTAAAACTGGTCAAGGTTTCTTAATCATAGAAAATTAGGCATCACTAACCTTCAAATGTAATTTCCACTCTTGCTTTATATTGATATTTTGCCTTCTTCTTTTGTAGATTGGCTGGTTTCCCTCAACATATGTAGATGAAGAAGGGGTACAATGATTGGACAGGTGGTTCAGATGTCATCCTTTCATTTCCAACAAAAGCCATTCCTTTTACTGCTCTCTGAGAGGACTCTTGAGTATCAAGGGAAATCTTCTGAAACCTTGTGTGGAATAATTGCTGGAACATTGCATCAGCTACGTGTTTTACAGTGAACATTTGTACTTATGATTTTGGTTACATATGAATCTGCTTTATTGTTACAAAAGAGTTCCATTAAGGAAACTGGATTAGAAGATGCACTACCCCTTTGCAGAGGGAAAGGGGTGTTTTAAGGGGTCTTAATCTCTTAAGAGAGAGCAGAATCATGCTTTAGTCCGAAAATCCCAGCATGAAAACAGAAAACTTCACTTTGTTGTACAGTTACAGTGTTTGGGGGTATTTGCAGGATTTCTGCAGGAAGGGTATTATAATGTATAAATAATTTATTTAAAAATTGACATACTAGAAACTTATACTGAAAATAATTCTACCAATTAAACAAAACAGTTGTAGAACAAAAATTACTTTCTTTGCTGAGAGAATATGCCTTAGTAGTCATGGTATTGCCTTGTGGGCTGGTGAAATAGAGGGGACAGTTCTGTGAGGGTATTTTCAACTTGCTGTGGAATGCTGTTTAAAACAAATTGGTGCCTTGAAAGTGGACAGAAATCTTTCAAAATCAGCTGCCCTCGGTCTCTGAATTTGCACAACTGTCTTGGGACAGAGATATCGGTGGTCTTTTGCAGTATTTAAAGAGCATTTGTGTAAATTACCTTTTGAGACCAGTCCTTTGACACCATGAGACCCAAATCTACCAGAAATTCATCAAGAAATAGCCAAGGGGTACTGCATCAGTTATCCTCATTCTAAGCGAGGAGGAAGTCTAGATACTGTATGCATGCAGAGAAGGAAAAAAACGGAAGGCCCTAACTCATGCTATATGCACACAAAGAAAAAAAACATCCATTTACATGCCTTTGAATGAGTAATAGTTTGTAGTAATTGCAGCAATGAAAACTAGAGAAAATAGTAATATACTGTACTATTATGAACTAGATGGTATATTTTCAAATTATTTTTCCATAGAATCAGGCAATGAATAATTATGTTTTTGCAGTTTTGATTTGCAGCAATTACTGCATGCATACACATAAACCTTCCTCTTAATGAGGCTATGAGTGTTTGTTTTTATTCTAAAGAAAATAAAGTACTCCAACACAGTGCTACCATTTTAATGTACATTTATTTAGTGGGCAAAGAGTACGAAGACAGAAAAATGAGCATATACACACAAATAACCGAAGGGTCAGAAGGACAGATACATCACAAATTCTGTGATGAACTATTCTACAAAGGAACAGCTGGATAGACATGTCATGGCAAAATTCTAGGCCTTCATCTGTGGCTGATACATGAACATGCTGGACATAGGAGTTCCAAATGGTTGGAATTTAAAGAAAATAGTGCCCTAGGAGCACATACTGTATCAGCTTCATTACTGAAAGAATCTGTTATTTGCTGGGGGGGGGGCATATTGCTTGAAATTAATGGTTCCCCTTTGTCTATAGTAGGGGCATGTTTGATGTTCTTGGGAATACGGCTTATCCGTCATTTCTGCAATGAGATGAAAGATTGTTAAAAAAAAACTATTTTCTTAGAATCAGCTGACCCTTTGATTATTTGCTGTGTCATTTCTATGTATCCTTATAAATAAAATGTAACATTTACCCCTGTGAGATATGTAGCATATGACTGAAACTGCAGAAATATGTAAATCCATTTTTTTGCACAGAAATAAGAATTAAATCCTGATTGTTCTGGGTTGGAATTCTAGTTCAGTGTGTGAAAAAGTAAACTGCTTTAATCATTTTTCAAGCTTTGTCACAAAATGTGGATTGCAATGTCACCCTGACTTACAGATACAGTATCTGAATTTTCTTTTTAAAGTGCAAATTTCCTTTTGTGATTTTGCCTTATCTCCAATGCCTGGTGCTCTGATTTTTGTAATTGTTTACATTATTAATCATTAATGACTTAAGCTAAGCAAAGATCACTGGTTGTGGACACCAAATTATTTAATTTTATTTTTTTATATTTAATAGAAACTTCCCAACAGCAGTTTATTCCTGTTTTGGAATGTGACTCCAGATGCACACTGCACCTTTTATCTGGGTCTTGACCACAGTAGAGTGGAGGGCTGTTATTACCCTGTTCACAATACCTAGAAAAGACCAATCATAACTTTATGAAAAGGATTCTCAAAGAAAACTATGGCTATTGCGTGGTTTCAAGGTGTTGATGACATTATATGGGCCATGTAAATAGGGTATCGGAGTGGACGAGTCCTAAAATGGTTCCCTACCAGGTGTACTGGGAATGAGATCACACAGCGGTAGTTAGATGCTGGAAAAAAGGGATTAGTTGCTGGTTGCATATTGGTAACCCATTGCATGTGGTTATAGATATTTTAAGTCCTGTCATTAAAATCTTCAAACAAATTCTTTATTATGTGTACTATATTGAATGATCAGTTTTCAATTGAGGTTTTTACAGCAAATAAACATTCTTTTTTGCTTACATGAGAGTTTGGTGGTTTCAGTCCTTAAATCCAGTTTGTCAAAATACTAACTTGCATTTTACACAAGATCGAACTAAATGGAACTACATTTTTAAGCCATGATCATTTATATATTCATAAATTACTAATTACCATCATAGCTGTTAAGATTATACAGTAAATCAAGTCAGTAAATGACAAGGTTGGTGAAAATAACTCATACAAATATTTTATGGTCTTTAAAGGTGCAGAAGAAAATATTGTTCATTTTCTAATTTATTGTGCCATCACACATATAGCTGTTTGATTTTCAACACTGATTCTTTCCAGCTTTCCTCCCATTGTCTGGCACTTTTCCTCTGGGCTTCCCACTCTTCTTCAGTTCTCGTTATCTCCTTATCATACTCCGTTTGATGCTTCTTCATTGAAAATAATGAAAAGGTAAAGTCAGCATGGCCTTCAGGGCTTGCAGCTATTCACCAGGCATTATAATCTCAGTATATTATTATTATCAAAATACAAATTAAAGACTGCCGCAAAATATTTTCAAAATACAGATTTTATCACAAGAAAACTGCCAGAGTATAGCCAATAAGCATTATTTAAATGAAAGCACACTCCTGAGATACAATCTTCAGTTGAAGTACTGTACTTGCATTTTTATTTGAGATGAATATGAAAAGTGATTTGTAGATTGTATGCTAAGCACTTCAAATTCTGCAATACTATGACTCAAAATATCACATTTTAACATACCTGATAGACTGAATCTCTTGCTTCTACTGCTGACAAGTGGCCCAGAGTTGTTTTTCCAGTTTTAACTGAGGCTGTTTCTCTGCAGGATTTTTCAGCATTTATTTTGGCTTTGGGTTCAAAGTAAGGAATTCCTGGCCAAGTTCTGTTAAAATAAATTAAACAATGTGAAAATGCATAGAAAACACAGTGAACAGCAAGAGAAACACTAATGTAAAGGAAGGCTTAGAAATCATATTTTTCTTTAATGCCTTTTCCCCACCTGGAAAAAGATATCTCTTTTTAAAAATCCCAAAACATTAAATAAGAAGGTAATTTCAAAAACAGCAAGGGTATCTTGAAAGGTTTTCATTTTTCTAGGTAAACTGTACAATTGCTCTTTACCGCCTGGGTAAATACAGAATAACATGCTAAGCATTGTATTCACTCCGCCTTCTCTAAAAACTATTCTGTAACTTTATGATTTTAACTTTTGATGTGAAACCTTATGGAAGACCTGCAGTATTCTAGAATACATTTTTCACAGCATAAGTTACAGAATAACGCAAGTTTAGTTTTGATTGCTAGCATTTAATCAAAAACATTTCTCATCAAAATATTGTCCTTAGCATATTAGCATATCCTAATCTGCAATTCTGTTTACCTGCTGCCGCGCTGTATTAAAGGTTTATATTGTTTGTCCTCCAGAGGGAGACCTGCTTGTTTTCGGCGTATAAGAGTACAAGTCTTTTCCTTCACAACTGCAATTTCTAAATGAAAGAAATCAAGGTAATTAAACTTTCAATTGCATTGATCTTGAAAAACAACACAAATATCAATGAAGAGACTGACTACCTTTGTCTCGAACAACTTTTAATATATCATATCAAACTTGGAACGCAACAAATGCGCATAACGAAGAGTACATTTTCTCTGGTTTTAATAAACCAAAGCTATTTATCCGTGTTACAGATGCAATGAAGTTTAGGACAGAGACTTACGTCCAATCTGAATATCATCTATAGTCACAAAGTCATCCAGCAGGAGAAGAAGGTTTTCTGTTAGCGAAGCAAGTGCTGTAACAAATTCTTCAGCGTGTTTTTTCAAACACTCCTGCAATGTGAAAACAATCATTCTTTAAAATCAGTACAATCATGTTGGTATATGAAAACATGCTCCAGATTACAGGTTTCTCTTATTAGATATTATTATTAAAAAATACAAAAGCAGATTAGAGTAAGTACACTCACTACCAATTACAGTATTGACAAAAAATCTTTACTAGTAATAAAATAAATTTGTGTTTGCACATCCTGACCTGCAGTTGTAATTTGGTGGTATCAATTGTATTTATCAGTTCTTTAAGTCTCACTTCCTCCAGGTTACACAAGCTCTCAAGCTCATTCACACTGTTTGGATGGCCTAGAGTGGGTCGCAGTTTATTCCAATGGTCATTCTATAGACATATTAAAAATATATAATAATACAGGATGATCAGAAAAATTAAAACAGAAACGCTAAAGAAAAACAATTACAAACATGACTAAGAATATATTGCAATTAGTGAAAGCATCTTAATATTGTACTGTATGTCCACTATTTCATGACTAAATTAAGCACTAAAACTTAAGAACAGAAGTCAACACACTAAAATATGAAAGAACAAAAATTATGATGCCACTGCGACATGTATAAATTGCGACATGTATAAACGGCTACACTGTTAGAAAGCAAATAATGATGGTCCTAAATAATAAAAGTCTTACAAAGTGTTGTTACAGACTTATGGGATTAATGTTGAAAACATTAATCATGAATGCAGAGAAAAGCATTTGGCAAAATAATTAGGAGAGGCAAGTGATCAGTTTCTAGTGTTTTAAATATGAGATAAGGGCAATGTTTTACCGAGAGTAACCTTAATTTAAGTGATCTCTGATGGAAACAGATGACTTAAAAATCTATTCAGATATCCCTTTTCCCATGACCTCCCCCATAAACACAGTATGTTAATGATGGGTCTACCTGGTCTGTCTTTTGACAAATAATAGTATCATAAAACTATCATACAGAACAATTGGTGAAGTGTTGTACCTGTTGATGTTCACTCTCCTGCTGTTTTAGTGCGAAATGGTGGTATATCTGGGATGTAGCTTGGCTGAGTTTCTGCAAGTGCTGTTCTGACAGGTGGCCAATGAGTTGCCTAGGCACATGCGACAGACACTGCTCAAACTGCATCAGCTGCTCTCTGAACTCTGCCAGAAGGATTAAAGACAATACATACATCATTACCTTTTTGTATGCCTTAACTATCCTGTCATCACTGTTGACACCTGTCCTAAAGGAAATATGTGCTGCTCTTGCAGAAACTGCTTCTCTAAATTAAATGAAATGAAACAAAGGGTTGGAAGACATCTTATGTTCCACAAAAATAAAAAAGTAACCCCATACAAGCAGCATTCATAGCATATACATATTCCATCATACTCATATTCCTGAGGTTTCGTTAATCCAAGTACTAAACATGCTTAATTAAACTTAAATCATACATTTTCAATAATTTTCATAATTGCAAGGCTGTAATGTGGAGTTGCCACAATTTTAGAAATGCAATAAACAACTAACTGGCTCAGCTTTTGCTAAATGTAAAAGATATTACTTGAACATACTTATATAAAAATCAAATACCCACTCATTGCAAAAATGTAATAATATTTAGCTTTTGGGATATTTATGATCAAAACCAATACAAAAATGTTCCAGGTTACAAAAATCCTTTGTTAAATTAATATGTAAAACTGTGATTGATTTAGTCATAGTAGATGTGTGAAAGCAGAAACATTGCAAAATCAGTTCTACTAAGTCCTATATTAGCTCAATGGGAGAAGATACTTACCTTGCAGGCATGCATTGTGGTAATCATGGGCTTGGTTTTGGTAAGACAGCAGCTTGCTGTTCAACACCTCTGCACAGTGCTCAAAGGTCTCTTGCAGATACTGGGGCCGGGTGATGGCCCGTCTCTCTTTCTTTTTGTAGAACTCCTGGTCAAGATCAACCAAAAGCCAAAATAAATTAAATGAACCTGCCACCACTGATCTGGCTGATCATCAGCTGATAATGTATCAATGAAGTCTCAATGGTACACAATACAATTTGAAGAAAATATTTTAACTAAGTCCATTACCTATACTGTAAGTATAAACATTGGAAAGAATAAAGAATTAAACATTGAAAGACACAGCTGTAAATGATTTCATACCTCAGCCACAGCTAGTAAAACATCATTAGCTTTCCATAGGATACTGTTGATAACCTCTTTGAAGGAACTGCCAAAAGAAAGCAGAGATTGGCATATCTATTCTTTTCATGACTGAATGTAGGTAGAGAATTAGTATTAGTAACTAATGGGTCCTAAATTAAGTAGTTGTATACATTCATGAGGCGCATTAAACCACAAATGTGCAAATTAAGAGTGCATACTTCTACCTATATTTTAGTTTTTCAAATATTTGATCTGATATATTTCAATGTCTTAGTTTAGTAATACATTGTTGCCAAAAAATGTATTTTTTACAAAACTCTGCCCGTTTTAAGTGCCAAACCCTGAAAAATTGCCCAAGAAAAGTCAGCAAATTAAATAAGACATTTTTTTTTATTTAGGATTTTATGAAGTTTATGTGAAAATAAAGTTTCACAAGCTACCCATGTTACTTTTGTATGAATAAAGATCATATGCCCTTAGTCCATCCAGTCTTTGGACTGATGTTACCCTGTCAAAATATGGGTATATGGGTATATTTTGACATGTTACCTATGGAATATATACAATTTCTGTGTTCGTGGCCATAATGGTTCCTTGTAATTGGGGTATTTTCTAAATGAGACACATTTATTAGATTTTTTTTTTATTTCTAGAACATGAATGAAATACAGACCTCTGCAGGATAAGGAGTGAAGTGCAATGAAAAGTCAAGGTGTGAGAAATGCACAGCCCTATAAACACGATGGAAGACAAAGACTTTACGTTTTCTTACACAGGCTCCTGTTCAGGCTTGGGTCCAAAAACCTGGAATCTCTTATCAAACCGAGTAGGCTTGGAAAACCTTTTGACACTAAGACAAAAATAAAATATTTTAAAAATGTACAAAGAGTGTGAAGTATATATATATACAGTACATAATATGATATATTAGATATTTAAATATACAGTATATAAAAGGCTTACTAATGCTATAATATCTTCTAACATTTCCACGATGTATTGGAATATTAGTGTATTAGTTAATTTATTTTATATTAAGCATTAAGAAAACTATCTTTAAGCATTTTTCACAATTTTTTACCTTTTTGCTCAATGTATATGGATACACAAACCTAAACGGAATCCAAACAACAGATTTATATGTAAATGTAAGCAGAAGGATTGTTTAGATCCCAACACAAATTGCTGAAAAAAATTACCTTAATGCTACAACCAGTGAAGAGTGAAGAAAAATCAAATCTAGCAATAAACCTGAATCTTTCATTTAATGCAAATGGTAACTCGTTTCACTTTTAAAAAGTCTTCCTTTCATTATAAATGATGAAAACTGTTTTTAATAAAAAATGCTTCGTGATCTTGCTAGTGTTATTCGTAGTTAACCTGGGAAGAGAGCTTTCATTACGCACCATGTGGATGAGACTCTCCTGAGTGGGGCCTCTGTTCTCAGGCCAGTGGCAGACCCCACTGATCTTCGAAGGGCTACAGCCACCTCACTGGTTGGCCGACTTTGGGTCTGGCCAGCACAGTAGGTCCCTGTAAAAGGAGAGCCCTGCCAAGTTGCTTAAAAATACATTTTAAGTTGCCTTTCACTATACTGTAATTATTATATTAGCACACTGTTGAATTGCATTTTGAAATTTGAACGGAACAAATTAGAACAAATATAAACATGAGAACTCATTAGACAGAAAAAATAGAATAGAAGAAGCAGTTGAGGGATCAGTCACTATACAGTATACTGCAATTATTGGCATAGAAAAAGGGTAAGGATTTAAGATCAATTGTTCAGTTAGGCTATTTTGTATTCCAGAGAACCTATCCCAATTGTATCAGTTCCAATATTTTATTTTAAATAAGGATAAAACTGTAGACTGATTGCAAAAGAACTTTACAAACAGTACCAGCTGTTAATGGCTGACTTCTCTCCACTTGCTCTCCTTGAAGATCTGGCATGACTTTGGATTTCTGTGTTCTTGAGAAAGAAAAAAAAAATCTCAGAACAGGTAAAGGATAAATGTACTTAATACAAATTTTCTAGATCTTATACAGTAACTTAACTGACAACAAAACGGATGCTGGAATACAACTTATTCGAACACAAAAGCTCATAGATGCTAAATGCATCTAATTTCAGATTCATCCCAAGGTCTGCCACATTTTCTGAATTGCTTACTGTTCTTAATATTTACATTTAATTGAAACCAATGAACCTTCAACAACTTGTAATTTCTTTAAAAAAAGGTTAAAGGCAAATCTGAAGAGGAACAGAAAAGAAAGCATATAGTAAATTAGAATTTTAAAAACTTAAGAGAACAGATTCTTTTCTTAAGAAAATTCATAAGCTTATTTACTGTGAATCTGCGAAAAGCAGCATTTTGTATCCATTGACTGAAAACAGAATCATTTTTAAGAAAATATCAGCGATTTCAATGGGGTATGTGAATAACTCATTAAGCCTGCATAATATGTTTTGACATTTACCTAAAAAAACTGCATTTCAGAATTTGACTTTGACAGCTTACTGTAATATGTGCTGAATAACACCAACAGCCACATCCTCAATGGCAGGTCTGCCCATCCTGCTTGGCTGCAGGAGGCTGTCTGTAGTCTGGCTCCCCAGCTTCTCCTGTTTCAGGGTCTCTGTACGGGCAGCTGTGGCAAAGGAACCTTGCAAGGGAGCCTCAGGACCTATATCTGTGGAGGTGATGTCCTGCACACCAGGAAGCCATCATACAGCATTTAGCACAAATAGTCCATATGGAAAAAGTAAACTGATGAGCAAATAAATTATATATACTTACAATCAAGCAGTCCAGGTACAGACATCTTTTCTTGAGCTCTTCCATTATGAACCGAGTAAAAGAGTAAAGATCATCAGGAGTTACAGTCTGAAACAGAGGACAGAAAACACGTACTGTAACAAAAACATGGAATGGAATTGTCTAAACTGCGTTTTCCAGAATCAGTTCTACTCAGTAATATTTAAACATATTAAATAATATTGAGTATGAGTTATCTTTTAACATTTGCAATTTAAGAACACAAGAAGAATTACAAAGGAGAGGAGGCCATCTTGCTGTTCTGGCAGTTTGTAGCCAACTGATCTGAGGACCTCATTTAGCTGTTTCTTGAAAGACACTTAGACACTATGATAATCAATACAACACAATATATAAAAACAGGAACGGAACATTGACAATGAGAGTTCAGAGAAATTCCTATTACCTCTTTATCTATATTGGGTCTGGCACACGCATCTATCTTGCTCTCAAACTGGGCCAGATAGGTACTTAAGTTTTCTGTCTGCCTATTGCTCTTAGTTACCTGCGGAAAAATATAAAACTTTTAGTGCTTAAAAGATGACCAGTGGACTGATGTGCATTGTAAAACATAAAGCAGAACGTATCCTAGAGAATAAAGAGTAACAGGTCAAATCAGTACAAATAAAAAACACAGGTATATTTTAGGAATGTAAAATAGAAAACCCCAATTACAACCAAAAATATTAATATTATATATTATTATATAGCATAATATATGAACAAGTAATATGTTTATTCCATGCTGAAAAGAGAAGAAAGAAAACACAAAGTTCCAGCTGTGGAGCCTTCTTCAGGTGTAAGGGTGCGCTCCTAAGAATTATATTATAACGAGGACATCTGTAAAGGGATAGGAGGTGGTTAGAAAGCCTGGTCTTGGAACAGATCGCTGTGAAGAGACAGAATGCTGGTTTAGTAAGAGAGGGGGGCATGTAGCCCAGAGAGGAAGAGAAGGAACAACGAAGAAATAAGAAAAAGATTTAGAGGAAGGCATAGTGGGCCGCAGCAGAAGTAGGTTGAAGTAGTTCAGGTGGGTAGCTGTGTCAGCATGCATAGGCTGCAAAGGAACAAGTAATAGGTTTATTCCATGCTGAAAAGAGAAGAAAGAAAACACAACGTTTCCGCTGTGGAGCATTCTCACACCCGAAGCTCCTTTGCAGCCTACACATGTTGACGCAGCTACCCACCTTAACTACAGAATAATATAGTTTAATATTACTGAACCATAAGACTGATTAGGTTTTTTATTATTTCTGCCAACAATTAGACACAGTATATGAGTATCATTGATTGGTCTGGGAGATTTCTTGTAAACTAGTTTTATATATGATGAATGAAAGCTAAAGTCCCTATTATCCATTCATCCATTTTCTAATCTGTTTATTCAGTACAGGGTCAGAGGGGAGCTGGAGCCTTTCCTGGCACAACAAACAGGCACAAGGCAGGGTACACCCTGTATAGGATGCCAGTCCATTGCAGGGCACACACATTCAAAAACACGCACAAACACACACCAGGACCAATTTTTCATAAGTCAATTACCCTGCATCTTTTTGGACTGTAGGAGGAAACTAGACCAACCAAAGGAAACCCATGTAAACATGGGAAAAACATACAAACTCCATGTAGACAGAACCCCAGTTACTGAACCCAGGGCACCAGTACTACAAGGCAGCAATGCTCACCACCCTGTCACTATCATATTAGTGCAAAATAGAGCAGCAACAGTACAATAAAAATAAACATGAATATTTACCATAAAATATACCCTTTCAGCATTTTAATGTTCTCTGTAGAACAATTAAGCAATAGTTCTAAAGTTAGAACTTTTAAAGTAAATATTTAAAAGTGAAGCATTTCAGGATGCTATAACATCTCATTCCTGTCTTCCAGTGTAACATTCCAAACCATTTAGTGTCTATTCTATGACAAATCTAGGGCTGCTAATGCAACTATGAAAGTTGCTGAAGTGTTTACAATACATATTAAATAAATGTTATTTTAAAATATACAGGTTATTACAGTATTTTAGAAAAGACTACTAAAACCATTAAAAATATATAGACTACATGTTCAAGAATAATATTTGACCGAAACTGTACAGTATACAGCTGTGGAAATACTAATTGTGAAAGCTACAGTCATGGCTTACCTCTGTTTTTATTAGAACTTGTGTGTTAGTCAGCAATCGCTGAATTTTTTCCATGAAGGTCAGATCTACTGTAAGATAATGGAATTTGTCTTCAAACTTATTAACCACCTCTGTTGCCTACAATAAGAAAAACAAAACCATAGTCTTAATATCGCACAATTTCTTATTTTAGAAAACTTCAATATGGTTAATTTACTAAGTTAATATCTATCCATTTCCAACGCACTTTGCTTGGAAGTTTATCTTTTCCTGCGAACATATTTTATTATCATGCTTTGCTTTAAAATACAAAACGTAAACAGAAGAGTTTAAGTCTATATTAAGTGTAAACTTCAGTTTAAACTACAATTTACCATATTCAACAGAGGGGAAATGACAAGAAGTTAAAGAGGAACAATGAGCAAATGAGATACAAAAAAAGATTCCAAAATTTTCAGATACGTTTCTCTACCTGTTCAAGACACTTTGACTCCATTCCTTCCATATCCAACAACAACAGCTCATCAGTGGAGTCAATACGACCAGAAGTCTTCTCAAGTCGCCTCTGGAACAAATCAATCTCTTCAGGAGTAAAATTCCCGCCTTCAGAAAATAATCTAAAAATAAAGAAGACAGCTCTGTCATGTGCTCTCACCTACCACACCACTGTGTTATGGATTAAAAGAAATCAAGTAGTCACTATTGTACCTAAAGGATTTTATAAACTCTGCATTGGATTCCCTTAGATGTCCAAGCGTAGATTCCAGTTTCTGCCTGTACTGCCGTAAGGATGTCTGGATCAAACCCATATGCTTATCAAGGTTGGACTGCAGCGAGCCACAAAGACCAACTAAGCTAGAGAGTGAGAAAAATTATTAGAACGAAAAAGAATCAAACCAAAACAATCATTCACTTTTGTATAGTGCCCTGTTATATGTAACACCACACTAATGTAAACAGCATGAATAAGTCCGCCAAACCAATTAAATTATCTGAAAATAAGGTAATCACATCCTGAGGAGCAAATCAGATGGTACTGACACATTGTTGTGCATTATGGGAGGGCATAAAAAAGATACTGACTCTAATTTTAAAATATTAAAAAAAAACTTTGGCCCCTTCTCTCAAAACCAGATACTTCCAGGCTATTTCAAAAAATGAAATTTTACTGGCACAATCACAAAAAAAAACCTTAACAATGATTGCTAATCTTTAAGAAGCCTGTTTTTTTGGAAAGCAGGTTACAGATATCCTGGAATAACAAATTAAGTTTAATGAAGATGGAAGATAACCTGCTTCTCACTAATCCACAATTTTATAAATGTATAAACCTTTTTTGCATAATGATATATTTTAAATTTAAGATAATCTAAATTTCCTGGTGAAGTTTTGTTGCAATCAGCAATGGACTCACATGTCTGATTTGGATGCGTTTATAAAGATGCTCTCCATGCCATAGATCTGTCTTCGGAAATCTTCAGTTAGTGTCTTCTGCTCTTGACGAAGAGTAACAAACTCTGCCTTTAAAGTGTTCAAGGCCTCTGTAATTCCTTTGCAATGTCGCTCAACTCGGTCTCTGTGAAGCACTAACTCAGCTGTGAGAAACAAAGAAATTAAAAAGGAAGGTTGAAATGGTGGTCTATTGACAAACACCTTATTATTTACAGGGGCACTGTATAAATGGCTGACCCTGCGCTCTGACCCCAAGCTTCTCTACCTGTCTGTGTGTCTCATAGAGAACAAGTTGGGGTATGCGAAAAGACAAATTCCTAATACAAGAAATTGCACATGGCCAATAAAGATATCTTATCTTATCTTATTTGTCTTTACAATCAATCATAGTCCCTGGATTTTAAGAACATATAAAAATGTATTGCTAAATTTGACATCCTTGTCACACAAATTTAAAGGTATGACCTTCTATTTATAATACAGAACAACAGAAGTGTCAATAGCATCCAATATAACATTTATAGATTCTTTAAGTCAATCAAATAAAACACTGAAAGTGCTTCATCATTCTATTGATCTTACCAGCTCGAACATTGTGAATATCCATCTCAATCCTCTTTGCTCTTGGTTGATGAAGATGTAACCGCAGTTCCAGTTCGGATTTAAGTTCGTCTTTCTTAGCTGCCACAATGCTAGTTGCATTAGTAAGGGTTATTTGATACCTATCCTCCAAGTGCTCAAAGAATGCCAGCCTCACACTAGAGGTAGGGGACACAAAAAGTAAACTTTACAGGACTGATTACTGAGGACAAACTTAGAATTTATTGCAAATATATGTAACCACACACTAACATGCAATCAAACATTGCAGCATGTCAATCAGTTAAATACACATCAATGTACAATGCTTTTGTATTTATATTACTAGTCGTAGCATACATACTATCAGTACTAGTAGCAGAAGTATTACCCACCTTTTCAATAGATCTGTAAGCATGCTGTCTGATAATAGCACCACTTCCACATAAGAAGGGGGCTTGCTCTGTTCTCCATCTTCTGACACTTTCAAGATTGACTTCCAGGCATTGTAGACATTGCCTCTGGATGTCGTGAATGTCTCACAGATTTGAGAAGGATCATGGGAATCAATCTGCGATTCTAATTCGTCCTAAAAGGAGGAAATAATAAAACTAAGTTGAGACAAAATGATCTACAATCAATTGTACTATTTTAAATAATATGATCTAATTATTGTGTTATTTTCTGACATCCGTCACCACTTTTTCCCTACCTCAGTAGATTGGAGCTCTACAGAGGAGCAGGTAAGAAGAAGATCCATGTGATCGGATTGAGGATGGGAGGCTCCCTTTGGTGTACTAGTGATAAGTCGCTTTCTTCCCTGACCAGTTGTGGGATGGCGTTTCTTCCTTACAAAACCTTTACCACCTGCATCTTAAGCAAGATACAAATATCTATTAGCTGCTACAAATCCAAAATCTTCTTCTCTTTACGTTTAATGCATAAATAAATCACATGAAGGATGCTGATCTGGTCCTACATTTAATTTTAAAAAGTACTGAAAGGGTCACATATACTGTATGCTGTGTACATGCAATAGATGTTACGCCTGGCCCGACAAGGTGTTGAAATGGGCTCGGTGAAAATTAGAATCATGAGCCAAGATATGCGGCAATCGAGATAATTTATTCGATGACAGTGCTAAAGAGGCCAAACAGAGCTGCGACTGAGGAAACAGCTGAGGCAGTAGCTGCGCAGCTGAAGCAGGCAGAGCAGAGGCTGAGTTCTGGGGTAATTAAGAGATAATTAGTGGCAATGATGGCTGAGGCACTGGAAACTGAGGATTAAGAAACACTGAGAAATACTTCTGAGAACCTGAAACTGAGACACTCAAAGCAGGGTTAGTGACTCAATGTCTTAAATACTGTGCAAGGTTCCCTAATTTCAATTTCCCTACGGGATTATTAAAGTATTATCTATCTATCTAATTTGCCTGATAGGCCTGGCCTGATCTCATAGAGGATGGCCCCAATGAGTCTCCAGCATGTGTGGAATGCGCATTGGTAATTGGTGGAGCTAATGCGGTGGTGCTGGAGCTCGTCGGAACGTAACAGTAGATATGTTCAAGTTATTTTACATCTTTACAAATCTCTTACCTAGGCTTAATGATGTAGAACACACAGAATATTGCTCTTCAGTTTGCTAAAGAGAAAAATCAAAGACAAATGCAATCATTTTTTCATGCTTGGAAATCATATATAATGTTTTTAAAAGGTCCCTTCAACTAATCTATTTGCAGAAGAAAAAAACACTCTACCTGTTTGAAAATCTCTTTCACATGGAAGAATTTACTAACAGCTGTGCTGTATAACTGCAGTTCTTCCAGGACCATGGCAGGGTATGATTCAACCACATCAACTTGTTCTTTATAAAAAGTGAAATACCTAGAGAAAGAAATTATCAGATTTTGTGAACAATAGATTACACCTAATATATATTTTTAGTGAGACATTAAGTTTGTTTTACATGTTATTTTAATTTGTTGTACTCTACACAGGAAATATTCACTGCAGTTCATGCTGGTGCATACACAAACTCCATATGAGTTTTATTAAAAAGAATTACCCATTTTTAATTTCCTCCAGAAAGCTAAGTGCCTTATCCAAACTGTTCTTCAGGGCCTCCTCTGTGCTCTCCTGCCTGAGTTTATCCATCATAATATCCAGACTTGCTTCTTTGCCCTAGAGAGAGAGACACAGATCAACTTCAACTGAGGCTTTCAAAATAAACAAATGGCTATTTCTTTTTTATTTGACCAACTCAGAATCTTCAACATTGAATGCTACATGATACGTTTTAATTTTACTGTCATTAGAGACCTTAAAAAAAGCCAGAAACGACACTTTAATCTTCTTACTTTTACACACATGATCATTTAACATCAAAATAGTTTCAAGAAACATTTGTCAGAAACAGAGTGTTAAAATCAGCACAGAATCATGAAGTGCCTGATTTTCAGGTTACAAAATTTAAAATTACTTATAGAATCTTTGAGCTAATAATATAATTTATTTAAATGTAGGCATTTAGAAAATTAAAGTTCTTACAGTGTCAGAATCAAGGCACTTTTTAGAATATACTGTATCAACAATGAATTCAGGATGATATGATTCCTAAAAAAGTTTAAAAAGTAGGCTTCGAAATAAAATAATCAATTTTGTGCATCTGTTGTATTTTTGTTAGGAATGCCAAAGTCACATGTAAAATGGAAATCATGGACACTCTTACAGGTGTGACCGCACCTGATTGTCCTGGTCATGTGCATGGCGGATCTCATCCAGTTGGTCCTGCAGCAGCTGCTCCTTTCTCTGCAGGCCTGTGCTATGCAGCTCCCAGAGGTGGGCAGCCCCTCGGGCAAATTTAAAAAGAACTTTACTTTGAGCACTGACCCTCTTTGCCAGCTCTTCAAATGATTTCTGCATGGAAAGTAGGAAGGGTTCATTATAATGTTCACAGATCTCCAAAGAAAACATTGTTGTTTTTTTCTAGTAATCTTACATCCATTGCTTCCAGGTATGCTTCTTGATTTCGCTGACTCTGTCCAACAAGCGGTAGCAGTTTGTTGTTGCAAATACAGTGAACCTCATGATCAGAAAGTGCATAAGAACTCACTTCTTTCTGGAGAGAAGAAAATGGAACATGATCATGAAGAAATATGTTTTTACCATGGAGTAAGCTCCTAAGAACAACATTTTAGTCCGATTTTTCTTTGACAAAAACAAGATATGTTGCCCTTCTGCTTCATTCACAACTGAATGGCCCAGGCACTGATGTACAGACACATTTCAAGTCTGACTGTTTGACTTGGGAAGTTGCAGCATTGCTGTTTGATGGACAGATGAAACAGCAATGGAGGGGTTACCCCAACATCTCATCCAGACAAAAAAAAAAACATCTGAAAAAGGCTTTATTTACAGCTGTTAAAGAATTTTGTAAAAAATTAACATTATCCCAAAGTAAAACATATCACATGCTTGTCCTGTTTGAAATTTAAAATATGCATATACTGCACAGTTAAAATTACATTTTGTACATAATGCATTAGCATAGGAGACATTAACAAAATGCAGTTTAATTTATATACCTTGAATCTCTCAATCTCAGCCAAACAGTCTTGCCAAATTTGTTCATAATAGGAGCGGAGTTTGGTCATAGTATCAATATGCAGGGTATCTGAAATCAGTTTAAACACAAAAAGTTAATCACAAACCTAACATCTTGCATTTTTCAGTGTCTTTTGAATACTGTTCACGTGATTAGATAAAAACTAGTGTATGAGCAATGATGCAGCCACATTTAAATAAATGTTTTCAGTCATTCCCTTAAAAAGTCTAATATAATAATGTTTTAGACATTTTTAAATTAGATGTACATTTCAGTTACATTTTAAATTAATATATATTACTGTATACTGATGGAAAAAAAAATGCAACATTTTCTGGAATGAGAATACTATAGTTATAGCTTATGTACTTTCACAAAACGTTGTCAATTTCTTTTAAGCCCTCTGACCAGAAATACACCTCGTGCAGTGAGACATTGCAACTTGCCAATCACACAAAAGCTCGTTAGGTGCACTTTTACCCAATGAGGTCCAGGTGGAACAATACCTGATCAGGTCTCCTTTAAAAAGGCCTTAATTCAAACTTAACATCACTGCAATAAAAAGGCCACACTTAGTCAGTTTTCTGTGCATTCCATGATGCCTCGAACATCACCAGAAGCAAGGGGGAGAGCCATTGAGATGCTGCAGGTAGGCATATCATGTACCAGCATTGCCAGACTATGGAGTAAGACGCTCTACTGTGTCCCGACTGCAGAGAAGGTTTCAGCAGTTCGGCAGGACAGATGGCTGTCCAAGATCTGGTCCCCCTCGAGTGACCACACCAGAACAGGACCAACACATCAGACTGGTCCATCTGAGAGATCATTTCAGACCTGCCACCTGTACTGGTGCTGAAACTGCCAGCTGACACAATGCCCACATCATGACAGGACAGTGAGGCTCCATGCTGTTGGCCTTAGAGCAGGGTGACTTGTCAGAGGCCCTCTGCTCACAGCTCCTGGACGTCACACTCGACTGGCTTGGGCCAGACAAAGGCTGTGATGGACTTGTCAGCATTGGCATCAGGCCCTCTTCGTGGATGAGTCACTCTTCATCCTCTTCCACACAGATAGGTGGGCCAGAGTGTGGAGGAGGAAGTGTTGCATTTCTTTTTTCCATCAGTATATATAGTCTAAGTAAGTCAAGTGCTGGATATGCTTACCTATTTGCTCATTAATAGTTGACAAAGATGAGTACCATTCAGAAACCACTGATTTAGTGCACCTAGGAGGTGTGATTGAACTGCATACAAGGAGAAAACAAAGGATTACTTTTGACTAGCATTAGTGCATGAGTTAAATTATCTGCACTTAAAACACAGTAGTCCTCCCTTATTTCAGCTCATTATAACTCCTTAAATAATGAAGTGCTTTAAACCAGAGGAGCATTCTAATCACTCGTGTCAAGTCCAAGCAAAGTTTTGAATCACAAGTCAAGAGCTTCTTGTGTTAACTAGGGTTACTTATACAACTTCAGTGATATTTTGGTCTTTTCTTGAATATTTATGTGCAGCTTATATTTGATATACTGTATTAGTATAGAGTATAAACTCAGAACCCAAAGATGGACCCATACCAAAGTTTTAAATAAATATCAACCCAGACCTCGGTCTTTTAATTTAAACATGTACAGTAAAACACAACAATAATACTAGTTTTACTTACAGCCATCACCATTTTTAAAATGATCCCTAACTCATTGAAAAGCCCTGCTCTTAACACATTAACATTATTGTTAATTGCACAATTCATTTCTAAGACAGAATATATTGCTTTACAACAACCCATTTAGTCAAAATGGTGTTAAATTGACTTCTGAACTCCAAGAGAATAACTGCAGAGGAATTCATTCAATATTAGAATGCAGTGCTATCAATTGTGTCAAAGATTTATATATATATAATTGTGGGAATTCTAGTGTTTTGCTTGGGGTACTGTTAAGAGTCCTATCAAAGCAATATTTGTGTTTTTTTCAGAGAGGTATAAGTCTCAACAAGTTTCTAGCAGAAATTCACTTTGGTGACACGTCCACCCTGAATCCTATCATCTTACACTTAAAAGTACATTTTACTTTTAGAACACCCAGGGACTGAAATCCAGACGTGGAACCAAAATAAATATTTGCAAATTAAGCAAATTACTACTTTACAATGCCAATAAAAAACTGAGAGCTGGGGGTTTTATAGAGTGTAGCAGGAGCAGGGGTTATAGAGTAAGTGCAACAGAGAACCACAATGCGATACGACCAATAAAACTAACGGCCATGGATTTTTTCAGATTTTCAAGTTATTTTTATCAAATCTCTGAAGTCATTCTGGATTTCTGAAATTTTGTGTAAGAAAAATACAGACTTGAGTTTGACCCGAGTCCAAATCAACCATTCTACTTTAAACTGCTGCTGTGGTCTAACCTGAGAGACTGCAGGACGTTCAATCTTCTCCCACACAGAGATTCCTGGGCTTTCCGCATTGTGTCCAGGGTCCTTTGCACAGCCTCAGGGCTCTGGATGTGTGGGCTGCTCATGAACTCCCTGGAAAAATGGATAGAGAGAAAACAGGGAAAGAAGCAAACAAAAACACATGCCATTGTGTTGTTACTAAAAACAGTACATGACCAGGATTAGCATGGAGTTACTTAAGGCAGCCGGTGTTTGAAGTGCATGCTTTAACTAATGTAAAACATTGCTGCACTGAAAACACTAATGCTTTTTATTTAACACATGTGAAGCAAACACCATGAACACATACAGTACATACACCATATATTTTTCATTAGTTAATTCACTGTTTTCTTCTTGCTGTGATGAATGATTCAGAAAAGGCAGTTTAGTTTATATAAAACTTACTCTAGTTGTCCAACACTAAAATATCAGCATACAGAAATGAATGACTAGTTTAGCAGGTATATAAGATGTGCAGAGTAGATGTGATGGACTGTCTGATATATTGGATCACTACTGACTATACTTTTTACGTTTACTTGAGCCAACTTACTTGAACCGATCAATTGCATCTTGCATCTTAATTTTTTTCCAGTCCTGCAGTTTGTCTTCCCATCTCAATCTGTGAGACAGCTCCCTTTGTAAATCATGCTCCATTAGATTGACAAAAAGCCTACCCGTTGCTCGTCTGTTTGCCAGCAAAGCCTGGTTTATCATCTAAGTAAAGTAAATTTAATAAGGGTGAAAGTTCTTAACAATATTAAAAGGTAAACATTATAAGTACTCCTCCCTATCAAGGCTTACCAGAGCCTTGAAGTCACTGAATATTGACAATTAAATCTGCACGGCTAATTTCACAAACTAATTTACATTCATTTTCAAAACAATAATTGCATAATTTCATTAAACCTTACCATGGATTCCTTATCCATAAACCTGTGGATATCAGGAGGCATCAAGTAGCTAATTTTCTCAAGCATCTGAGTGTATTTTTTCAAAATTTCTCCAATCTATGCACAAAGAAAAAATTAATAGAGAGACCAAGTCAATATAAGTCTATAGAACAAGATTTGTCCATTTTCAATTACAATTCTCTCTAAATGTAGACATTTTTCCAAGGTCATACAATATATAACATAAAAATCATTAATAAAGTGTCTTAAAAAGGCATAAATTATTCCTACTATTCTCTTGTGTTAAATAGCAGATGTTTTGCTGAATTTAGTCTAGACCATTAATCTTACCATTACAGCTCTCTCAGACTCATATTTATTGAGCGTTTCATCAAGATCTTCTATCCATTTTCGTCTTTGCAGCGATTCCTGACTCACAGAGCCCCAGTACTCATGTAGACCCTAAAAGAACAACAAGGCTGAGAACAAACCTTATTTATCACTGTATACAGCACTCAAACAGATCTTTCCTGACCTGAAATGTGAACTTTTCCAGATCGTTATCACTGTCAATCCTTTGCAAAAGTTCTTCCATTTCCTTATCTGACTCTGATAGTCTATGAAGAAGGTCTTCTCCAGCTTCTCTAAACAGAGGCTCAAAATCCTATAACAAACAAAGTAATTTATTTCTTACATAAGCAGAAAAACCAAACCCAATAGCTTTACTGAGCAATACTCTGAATTTACTGACAGCTGCTTGTATGTGTACTTACCGCACTCACAACAACAAGCTCCTGGTGTAACTGACTCACTGCTTCTGCGTGTCTCTGTTGCTTGTTCTCTGTGAGTCTCTCAATAATATCTGAGCCTGTTTTTTCAGCAACTGAATTTATAGATATAAAGATTAAGCAAACCATTAATACATAATTGCAAGTCTGAAGTATGTTATTCTAAAGTGTTTTTACAATTTACAAAATGTAGCTAAAGAAACAAAATTAATTTGTTTCTATACATTATTCTAAAGTATTCACAAATGAATAACGGTATGATTTCACAAAGTTGTCAGGATTATTCATGCTGTTTTTGTCTAATACAAATGAGCACATAAAAAACAACATTTTACCTATAACATCAGAGAGACCCCTAACTTCCTCTGCTGCAATCTGGTCCTCACTTTCTTCATAGTGCCTATTGCTGGATGAGAATTCTCCCCTGTAGTGAAAAGCACAGATAATAAATCTACAGTATACCCATAATAAAAGTAAGACAACATTATTAACCAAGTTTCAAATAACAATAAAGTGGTAACTGTGTTTGAATGAAGAACTGTTCTTGAAGGCAGTGGATTCTTGTACAATAAAAAGCATCATGGTATATCATCATTATTAATGTTACAAACGATGCATTTCTACTTTGCAAAAGGTAAACAGATATTCCTACATGAAAGCAGAGAAATTCCAGTTGGGGTGATTCCCTGACCTGCAAACCCTCTTCCCTGAAGAGGAGTTTGTCATTCCCTGTGTCCACACACCCTGCCGTTGAACTGCTTCCCCAGCAGTGTCTGGGGCCCTCGCCATGGCAATTTTTCCACTGTCCAGAGGCACTTGACAGGGAATGTGCTTCTTTCTCACTTCATCCAGACTCCTCACAAGCTGAACCTGAAAGTAAAAAATGGGACATCCCAACTTAGAAAATAGGCTGTAGCAACACTGCTTTGAAATAATTATTTAAACCACATATACTTAAGCCCAGGTACTGCCACAGCGTTGAAGCATCTCTATTAGGTTTCTTTTGAATAGACAAGGGTATTTCCACATGACATCCAAAGAAAAAAAAAACTCTGAGCTGCTGAGCTATGAATGAAAGGAGGAGTTATCCAACTTGCATTAATTTGTATATGAATTTGAATGTTTTCATTCTAAAATCACAGCCTTGATTATCAGACCTACTTTTCGGATACTGCTGTTTTTGTTGAAAGTTTCTAATCAGATTCAGTCTTTGCACTAGCTCCTTACTCTTCAGACCGGATGTTGAAAGGGAGAGCAATCTCTATTCATGGTAGAGCAAGAAAACAAGTATGCAATGTATTTAGGTTACCTGAATGTTTTGTAAAACTTTGTACATTTTGAAAGAAAACAGAATAAAAGTCTGGTTCACTCAACCTCAATCTGAATATACAAATTATATTACAGCACTTCAAACTCAAAATTGAATGTTGCATTGATACATTTCTGTAAATGCAGTTCACCTCCCAAAACAGCATCAGAATGCCTTGAGTAAACCTGTTAATAGTGTATTATTTATATATATTTTTTTATTAGTTACCTCAGCATCAAAGATTTGTCTGTAGACTTTTCCACTGGGAACCACGTGAACGTCTGCCATTTTTCAAAAACACCGGAAAAGAGAGAGCTTCGGAGCCACAATTATCATTAGCTACAGAATCAGATATAAAGCACATCCACGAGTCTAGTGCAGTACAATAATGCAATAAATAATATTTTTTAATATTGTAAGAAGCCATTAGTGTATTCATAATATCCCACTGTATATATATTACGTTTTGCGCAATGAGTGGGAATGCACTTCGTACTGTACGTATAGTTTTATTTACAATATTATTATTGAGAATAAACAGTAAAAATATCATGTGAGCTATATACTTAATTTATTTTGATATTAAGAAAAGCGCTAAAATGAACTAATAGCAAGCAATAAGATCATTACATAAGATAAGTGTATGTCTGGATTCAATAACTCAAATGAAACTAATTTCATGTAGATTCGAAGTCCACACCACAGAGGTCCAAGTTAACGTACCGTACTTTCATATTTTTCCTGTTTAACAAACGTTAAGTCTTAATAACGATTTATATTATTTTTATTACCTGGAAGTTACTTTTAGTTCTGCTTTGTCTATTGCTGCATTTTTAGTCTCTAGTCGCACATCACAGCGTCCCGATATTACTATAGCAACCAACTGCAATTCTCACGTTAAACCTCGAGGAATGCAGTTGCCTTATGGGTAACGTAGTTTTTGCACGATGGAAAATGTAAATGAACGCCTGTGAAAACATTTTGCTTCAAAAATACGTCTTTAATGATTAAAAATATTTTGCATACAGTATATTAAATTACTTTTTTGTAAAACGGTGTCTTTGGGTTCTCGATACAAGTCATTGGCTATACCTAACAGTCCAGGATGATTCTTCACTGAATTCACTAAACAAAACTACATTGTCCATAGATGAAAAAAAACAATGTATAAATTCAAGCACATTCTCCACACATAACACCTAAAAAGTGTCTTTTCACATTGGCAAAAGATTGAAAAGCTAATACTTTGGCTGTATTGTCCGTACATCAATGAAACCAATACAACACATTTTTGTGGTAATTGCTTTAAAGATTTTTTACAGAAAAAATCAGATTGTATACACTCAAACTATATATCAAGAAAAGTCTTCTGCCATGCTTTCACCCCTTTTGGTTTCTCTAGATTAGGGGCACCGGTGGTCATTTTACCAGGGGTGGTTCTGAACTCTGAAAAAAAACTATTACAGACTTCTTGGTGGTGATAAAGCCCACATCTCTTTAAGACTTTTAAGAGGACGACTTCTGTAAATCTGACGAGGGCAGCTCTGGATTCAGTCCCAGTTTTTAGGGGTCTCCTCTGACCTAGATGTTAGAAGGAGATGACATCACTTCTGTAACTCACTCAGCACATTAAGGCCCATGATAGATGTATAAATGACAAAATTCGTGACATTTGCTTCTGTGCAAGGTGCCTCTGGGCAGAAAGATTGGCTTCATTCCCGAGATGCTGCCGAGCAGATCGTCTTCATGCACTACCCAGAATTCTTCTGGTTAGTAACATCTCAGGGTACATCAAGGAGCCCACAGTACTGAATGATCTGAAGAGAAAACCATAAGAGAGGTTACAAAGAGAGGTGGCCATTCAGCACATCTAGTCCATTTTGTTAAAACAGAAGGAGAAAATAAAAAAGCAATTAATAAATTTATTATAGGAACCTGTACAAAGCAATTTCTATGAAAATAATATTTCATTTGAAGTGTAGTATGTTTTTTTTTTAACTTGTGCCTCCAAATGGCATCTAAATTAACCTTTTTGTATCCATGCTGTGAAGTTAAGCCAGTGTTCAGGAACAATAACATTTTGACCTTTGAGACAGATAAACTTACCTTCTTCACTAGACAGGAGGTACTGATTCTCCATTGGTGCCATTGGTGGTTTCAGCGTTCCCTTTAAACCTGCACTGTGACTGGTCAGTGGTAGGGTGCCAGTGGGTAGCTGAGCCATCCCCATTCCTGAGGCCTGAGCCAGGGGGCTCAAGTTGTTCTCTGCATTCAGGACATGAGGCTGGCTTTGAAGTGCAGCAACAGACTCCAGGCTCCCAGGAGCTAGCTTGTCTGTCCCTTCAGTGCCACCATGCTCAATCCCCTGCTCAAGGTAACGTTTCCATCATTGTGTTAGACATACATTTAAAAAACATGACCTTTTTAGGTTAATTATGCAAATATTTTCATAGGAATTGTATGGTGAATCTAAACTTACATTTCTTTCCTAATTAACTAAAGTGATTTATGTTTAGTTATTTTTATTGTCCTACAGTCAGCAAATAACAAGTGCAGAAAATAAATAGTACATGTTAATAAAAAAGAAAAGCAAAGCAAGAGACTTTGAATCCAGAGTTAATTTTTAATTAAAAGAATGGTTTTAACCATCTCCAGAAACGGCTGTGTTTTGCGATCAGTGTCACTATCCATGGAGAGACAAACAGAAGCAGTGTGGCCCTCTCTGGTTCTTGTAAGGATTAGGCTGACAGCCAGTGCCCACACCTGCAATATCAGCTGAGTGGCTCCACTCATCAAACTGCAGGTTGCCATGGTAGTGAGAGTGTGAGGAGTGGGGGTGGCAACAGGTGTATCATGAGGGACACACGCCGAGGGTCCTTTCTGCACCAGCAGTGTAGGGCGCTGGGAGGGGACCGACAAGGGCTGGCCAGGACACTTAAAAGAAAAAAAAAAGACAACATTTCCAAAGCTTTTATTTATTGGAACTCAATTTCAGTTCAGTGAAATAAGCAGAACTGACAGAACAAAATAATAAGTTCGATTAAATTGAGAACTCCTCAATGTTACTTATCAACTTGTTTAAACACCAAATCTGATATTGATAGCAAAAACACAGATATTGTTTGTTTCTGTATGAAATGTGTGTAGAAGAAATGAAGTAACAGAAGTATTTCCCATTAAGCTCTTGTCTCTTTCATGGAAACCATAGTCACATGCAGCAACTGGGTATTACACATCAGATGATGTGAAAAAAATGGTTCACAAAAAATACGTAGGAGAAATTGTGTTTCAAATCTAAATATACTGTAGGTATTACATGTTCCCAAATGAAGATAACGCACAAATTTCCTATCACTAGTGCTGTAACACAATCATAGCTACGCTGGTATAGTTGTTTATTACCTGGTGAAACTCTAGCATGGGTGACTGAGGACAAGATTTGTGAAAAGAGGCCTGTCCGTCGCCTGTTACAGCAGTCAGCAGTATATTCTGCATCCCTTCCTCAGGCCTGGTGTGTCCTGGGCTGCACAAGGGGATGTTGTAGACTGCAGACTCAGACGTCATTCCTGCCTGTGAACACAAAGTGTTTGGGCTTTCCTCTGTCTGAACAGACAGAAAGAAATTACAACAGATATTGTAAAACTAGGAAGAGATTTTGAAAGTAAATGCTTAGAAGACCACCTACTGCATGCAATTGCTCAAGTGAATTGGTACTTGCAGTGTAGTCCGTAAGTATTTGGACAGTGACACAATGTTTGTTGCTTTGGCTCTGTACTCCAGCACATTGGATTTGAAATGAAACAATGACTATGAGGTTAAAGTGCAGAACATCGGCTTTAATTCAAGGGTATTTACGTCTATATTGGGAAAACCATATAGGAATTATAGCCCTTTTTATACATAGTCCTTCCATTTTAGGGGACCAAAAGTAATTGGACAATTGGCTGCTCAGTTGTTTCTTGGCCAGGTGTGTATTGTTGCATCATTAGTTTATGCACAATAGAGCTAACAGAAGGTCTAGAGTTGATTCTAGATTAGGCATTTGCATCTGGAGTCTGTTGCTGTTGTCTCTCAACATGAAGACCACAGAAGTGTTAATACCATTAAAGCAGGCCATCATGAGGCTGAAAAATCAGAATAAATCAATCTGAGACATGGCAAAACATTAGGTGTGTCAAAATCAACTGTTTGGTACATTGTTAAGAAGCAAGACTCCACCGGTGAGCTTAGCAATAGCAAAGGACCTGGTAGACCACGGAAGACCACAGTAGTGGATGACCGAACAATACTTTCAATCGTGAAGAAAAAACCCTTTCGACTTTTGAACAGATCAGGAACACTCTCCAGGATGTAAGCACAGGTGTGTCAAAGGCTACCATAAAGAGAAGAATACACCAGCATAATATCAAGAGGGTACACCACAAGATGCAAACCACTGGTAAGAAAGGCCGCAGAAAGGCTCTGGGACAAAGCCTTATGGACAGATGAGTTGAAGATTAACCCGTACCAGAGTAAGTGAAAGAAAAGTATGGAGAAAAAAATCACACTGCTCATGATCCAAAACACACCACCTCATCTCATGTAAAACATGCTGGATCACTTGTCTTTATTGATGATGTGACTGCAGACGGCAGCAGCAGGATGAATTCTGAAGTGTACAGAAGCATCTTATCTGCTCAGATCCAACCAAATGCTTCAAACTCATTGGACGGCGCTTCACCTTGGAGCAGGACAATGACTCCAAACATACTGCTAAAGCAACTATGGAGTTTTTCAGGGACAAAAAGCGGAATGTTTTTGACTGGCCAAATCAATCACCCGACCAGAATCCCATTGAGCATGCATTTCACTTTCTGAAGACAAGACTGAAAGCAAAAAGCCCCCAAAACAAGCAGGAACTGAAAATGGCTGAATTACAGGCCTGGCAGAGCATCACCAGGAAAGATACCCAACATCTGGTGATGTCTATGGGTCACAGAATTCAGGCAGTCATCAATTGCAAAGGATTTGCAAACATGCCAAATTTTATTTAAGATTATGTTAATGTATCCAATTACTTTTGGTCCCATGAAATGGGGGAATTATGTATAAAAATGGCTGTGATTCCTATAAGGTTCACCCAATATAGACGTAAATACCCTCAAATTAAAGCCGACATTCTGTACTTTAAGCATTGTGTCATTGTTTCATTTCCAATCCAATGTGCTGGAGTACAGAGCCAAAACAGCAAAACATTGTGTAACTGTCCAAATACTTATGGACTGCACTGTACATTCCTAGGTAATATCTTGCGATAAAATTACATTAAAGTCTTTTTAGTCTTGAGCTTAGAACACTATGAGAGGATTCAATTCAAATACTTAAAATGCTCAAAACTACTAACTATCTTCACTGTGTAATGACTCTGAGGATTCAAGTCGAAGCTAGGGGACATGTATTTAAGACTGTGAACAGAAAGCACTTCTTCACGTGAAAATTACGCCTTACATATGGAAGGCATTCTGGAACAAGGTACTCAGACATTTTTAAACTGGTTTCTTTCAAGACATGCATTAATGGGATCCTTAGATGAATTGGCCCTTAGCAACCAAAGGATCTAGATAGGTCAAATGGACTCTCCTTGTTTGTAACATTTCTTGCGTTCGTCATTTATATTTTTGCAGATACAAGCAGGAACATACTATGACAGAAAAAATAAAGAACATTCTAATGAGACAGGCACCTCCACAACAGAAAACAATATACGAATCACTCATTTAGGAGCATCAGTATCTAATTCTGTGTATTCCAATAATAATTTTTAGATATAATTTCCATCCCAAAGCAGCCATTACATTCCAACAGCCCCACAACACATCAGATGAAATGAAAAAGCGAGAAATTACTTCAACAACTGAATTAATGGGGACGTGCAGACAGGCCAGACTGAACAAGTCATAATTACAACTTAGCCAAGACATAAAGGTTAGCACCTCACCCTTATAAGCCAGGCAGATCTAACAAAATAATAAAGACCTCACTTTCATAACTCTTACAAAGGATGTGCAATTGAGATTCAAAGCTATAAAGTGCTAACAATGTGAAGTAGCAGACGAAAACTGTACTAAGTAGATTTAGAAGATCATGTAGACTCTTTCAGTTTGACTTACGGTGACTGCAGCCGAGATCAGTCCCTGTTCTGGACCAGTCATTGGCAGTCCTGCACTGGGTTGTGGAAGACTGGTAAGCAGAAAAGGGGGACCGGCCTTAGCTACCTTCTTCTTAGGCCTTGGGTTATCCTGCAAAGAAGAAATAAGTCATTTGCGTAAGCAATTACTCTAGAAGTAGTTAATGGGGAATTTACTCTGAAACATGCATTAGATGTACCACATACCCAAAGATATAGGCTTTTATACTTATATTTTCAACCAAAAGTTTTCCAATTTATTTATTAAAAAGAAGTGATTTCTTTATGAAATTGTCTTTTCAGTCTATATTTTAAAAGTTCCTTATATATTTAGCGAAGGCTCAAGTGTCTAGGGAAGCTGCCTACAAACCTTGATCCACTTCTTCAGACCATGAGGTGGAGGCTCTCTTTTGCCCCCTGTCTTCTTCATCTGGTCACTGACCTTGCTGATGGTGCTTTGACTGCAGCCTGTTACCCACATGATAAATTTATAACAATTGCATCTTCCACCACCTAAAAAAAAGAGACATCAATATAAGGGCTGTAACAAATACATTCATCTTCTAAGAGCTTAATCCAATTTAGGCTTTGGCTCTCCTTTGATGCTTTCCAAGAGGGCGACAGGTGCAAGGCAGGGTACACCCTGGACGGGATGCTGGTCTTTTACAGGACATGCACACGCACGCACAGCTAGGCCAATTTTCCCAGAAGCCAGTTAACCTACAGGTATGTCTGAGGACTGTGGGAGGAAATCAGACCACCTGGAGGAATCCCACAGGAACACAAGAAAAATATATAAACTCCATGCAGACAGCACCCCAGATCCGGAATTGAACCCAGAGCTGCAAGGCAGCAATGTTAACCACTGAGGGACAAATTTTCCTTGTAGCTGTTTTTTTTAAACATCTAATTTAAAAGTGAAGAGAAAGTGTCAAATTGCACAACTATGTGCTTGTGCATCTTTAAATTTGAAGACACATTCTCTAAATTACCCAAACACTGAATATGACATGAAATTGTTTCCACTATGCCACTTAATTAATATTGAAATGATTATTATATAAATATGCAAACCATGTGCAATGCTGTAGTCTGAAGAAACATCTTATCAGAACAGCTTGATATAACTAGTGTTTTTTATTTCTTTACATGAAGTGCACTGCATTCAGAAATGTCTAAATGTGGGAGACAACTGCATAATTTTGTTTGCAGAATGATTGCCTTCATTGATGAAATCGTCTGGGCAGGATTTGGCTGTTAAACCGTGCAGGCTCATTGATTACCTGGAGGTTAGAGTCCGAGATCTTGAGGCACAACCTGCTGACCTCCATTGGTTTTAGAATGTGGAGGAATTGGTTAGTCAGCCTTTTTAGGAGGTGGTTTGCGCTCCCTCCGGAAGCAATGAATGAAGAACCCAAAGAATTCAATAGGTTCCAATTACAGGACAGTGAGATGCATGCCAACTGTGCAGACTTTCTAAGAGATAGAGCGGATGAGCACCAGGTCACCTTATCGCACCCGCCAACATGTGGACATTGTAGTAACTTGTCATGAAAAGGCTGACCTGATGGTGTCAGCATTTCTGCCAGGACTCTCCGGGCCTCTGCCTGCCCCGACCGTGCCCTCTCCCTCCAATCCTGAAGCAGTTGCCAGTGGGTGTGCGCCATCTGGAGAGAACAGGGGTGGACAGGGGAGTTACGCTGTAACTACATCTTTTACACAAAAATCCATGTTGCACTGTGATGGGTTCAACCCTATTTGCTTCAAAATAGGATTGGAGACTAGAAGTTGTGTCATGAAAAAGTGGTCTTGATTGACGAGAGCACAGTCAAACGAAGGGAGGAAAAACCTAACAAAACACATAAATTAAAACTGACCTGTTAATGTACTTACCACAACACAGTTGTCAAGGCAACAGCGATTCTTCCAGAGATCTGTAATCGGTTTGAGTAGACCAAGTGTTCTCTTCCCTTTAGTCCTCTCAATCCTCTCTTTCTTCTAGAGTGAGATATCATCTTGAGCTTACTGGCCTCAGAGTGGCATTTAAAATACACGTGGTTTCCTTAACTAAAATGTAATAAGGCCCGGCAAAGCACAATATGTTCTTATCCTTATTGAAGGAACTACAAAGAAATAATAGACTAAAGACACAGTACAAGTTAAAACTTAAGGTTATATACTTGTGTTTACTTCTTTTTGAATAAATCGCACGGTGTACAAGCTTCGGTTTGATACTCAAGTATTTATTTTTTGCATTAAATTGACATAATTCATTGTAGTACAAATGAATGAGGATTCCTAAAGGCTGAAAGGATGATTTAGGGTTTACTTACCTGAGGATCTGTTATGAGCCTTTTATGGAGAAAGTTATTAGAATATCCCAGAATCCTCTGGCAGGCTCTCTCACAGAGTTTAAGCTCCTCCCTCAGCACCTTCCGGTTGGTCAGCACAAACTCCTCAAACTCCCTGGATTTCCTTTGGCCATTGCCCAATCCTACCACTGGCCTGGAGGACCAAATCCACAACAAGACAGGGATAAGTACCTTACAAAAGGGGTTCCCAGGCTTGGTCCTGATAAACCACACTCATGCAGATTTTTTTTTTTATTACAAGAAGCCTTCATTGACCTAGCAAGCTGCTTGATAGGAATATGTGTATGCTTTCTTTACTACCCAAGAAATTTGGGGTTTTATTTTACATGAAAAAATGCAACCTCCAACATGATTAAGAGCTGAATACAGTTCAGAGTAATCCTGTTATTAAAGCAACTACTGAGAGATTGACTGAAACAAAGTAATTACGGCACTTTTTTAACTAGATTTCATGTCTTGTACATTATCACCATGTGATATACTTTCTTCTAAGACTATCCAAAATGATCTATACTTGCTTTTTCATTTTGCCTTGCAGCTGCACAGTGCTGAGGTCATAACACTTCTGGGTGCTCAGAACCTTAGCTTCCTTCAGTAAAGCCAGGATTTGCAGGGCACGACTGTGGCAGCCATCTTCTGCGTCTCCTGTCGAAGATAGTTGTCATCTCAGAGTGCAGGCCTGTTAACTGCCTTCCAGTACTTTCATTGCTCAAATGTCCCAAAGCAAGATGAGAATGCAGTTTCACTTTTTTTTTGTTTTTTTGCATTTTAACCTTTAACATACCTGTGCCTTTAATATGGCTCTGTATACACAAACATGGCTTCTTCCAATACACTGGACAAGCAAGCCTCTTAGCATCTTGGTCTCCTAGCAACTCCACCATGGACTGAGCAAAGGCCTCCAGCTCTTGTTCATGTCTGGCACGATCACTGGGCTCCACAATGGGATCTGCAGGTTTGGAACACTTTGGCTTTCCATAAGAAAGACCTAAATACAATTTGAGAAAATGTGCTGGAATTTTTGTTTGATCATTTTAGGATACTTTGCAGTGGCGGTGTGAAGTTTGGAAGCAAGGAGATACGCACCACAGGCGTTGCAGAGTACAAGGGTCTCTCCCGTCCTGGGGTCTGCTCTGCGGCGCGGGCGTGCTGGGCCTGAACGGGGGGCTTTTGACTTATTCCCACGACGGGTGGGGTTGGTGATAAAAGGGGAGCGGCACAAGTCGCAGCAGAAATCTGTACTTTCGAGAGGATAAAGAATCAAGGATTTATTAAAAATCAATTCGAAAAAGCCAGTTACACACACAGGCATCACTGGTTCCAAATGGTACTGCCGCCCTTCCAAGCACACACGGTACACTTACGTGATGTGTGGTCAGTAGAGATTTCACTGCCACTGTTTGAGAGACCAAGGTTGGGCACTACGGCTCAATTCCTCTTTAAGCTTTTTCAGTCCAGCTAGCCTAAACCCTCTGTTTATGTAATTCTTCTGGTAGGTAATTTTTCACTTCTTTACCTGATCCGATTGGTGCAAAGCACCTAGAATGTATTGGTCTTCAGACGTGCATAGAGTCACCCATCTGTAAAGTACCTTTCATACTGATGTTTTCTTTTGATTAATAATTCCAAACTTTGCTCAAGTGAAACTCCACATGGAGTGAAAGCAGACCCCCTAAATGCTGACAATTGTAGATTATAAAAAGGTGCTATTTGGCTTACAAACAAGTGATAACCTCACATTGTCTGTGTGTCATCTTTTCAAAACCATTTTCTCAAATGCTGTCCTTACTCCTCACACCAATAACAAAACATCAGTAAAGGTTACACACTTGATCTTTATCCTGATCTCAATCTGACAGCTGCACACATAGAACACTGTACCTTTACTGTCTCCGGTGGCTCGTCCTGCCCATGCCGATTTCTTCCCTCTCTTAGGAGATATTTCCTCACCAAGAAAGGTCTCTCTCTTCTTTCGAGCTCTGCGACTTCTGCTCATATCAGGGGAGCCGGATCCATGGGGCTGATCTTGCTGAAGAGCCAGTAAAATGTGCAAAATGTGCAATGTCTGTAATCAATCTTTTCAAGTGCTAAATTACCTTTATTCCAAAATGCACTGCTTAAAATGGGATATGAAATGAATGTGTTCTGGATGTACATTATGTGTACAAATGTAGTAATGGGTGATTCAAGTATTAATAAGGAGTGTTTTGGTGTCCTTGGTTGTGGAGGAATCTTCTGTATAAAGTGCTTTTGTTGTCAGACTTACAGCTTATTACTCTTTCTCAGACAACTAGTACAAACACTTCCAGTACAGCATTACCTTAGAATCAGCTGAAGAACCATGTGTTGACTGGTTAGGACCGAAAAAAGTTGGCCGTTTCTTGGAAACGCATTCTTCTAATTCATTTCCACGTCTGCCATCAGCTAAACATGTAAAAAACAAACTTGTTCCATCACCAATGTTACATGTACAACTTTAAATGCCTTGAAGTCAAACTCACAGTACAAGTGAATTTTACAAAATGCAATAATTCGCTTTAAAGCAAGAGGGGGCCATTCTAGCAAGGCAGTAATCTGATTCCGCAACGACGCGTAATGCGTAAGGAGAAAATGGAGTCAACTTCCAGTAAAAGTGTACGAAAAACAAGCGAGATACCTCGGTCTGTACTTTAGAACATACCTTTTTTGTTAGCATCCATTTATAATAAGAACATATGTAGATATTCTATTTTCATAACGTTGTCTTTTTTGTTTGCGAAGAGTAAACTACGCAGCGTCTGATCTTCTCCCTATTGGCAACCCCACCAGCTTTCAGCCGTAGCTACACCTCCTTAATGAGGAATTAACCACCGAGTTCATTTTGCGAGGGGTGGCAGATACTTTTTAACAAGTCTTTTTGCGATTTTAATGTTTTATTTTTTTTTAAGATGTGTGTGTTCATTCACAGACTGGTCAAAATATGTTTTAGCTTATATAACCCAAACGTTCCCTCTCCCACTACATAGCATTAGGATCAGTTTGTCATTCACATAGGATCCAACTCCCATCTCGAAGCTCACCCACAAAAATCATAACACACATCTGAAAGGATTGGACCGAGACCCGTATTTTCCATTTGCAGTTTAATCTGCTGTATGTATCAACATTATGGACATGTATTTAAATTTTACATTATGCTTCACGAGTTACATTTGCCATGAGGTTTGCCATTTAAAAAAAAATCTTAGTTAACTTTAGTACACCAAATTAATATGGATCTGCCAAGTTAAAACCACGAATATTAAATACAATTTACTACGAGAAATGTACCCCACAGACCGCACTCCATACAAGGATCCCACAAACATTACAGTGTTTATTACAAAACAATTTACAGTTTTCATGGTCTTCCCTGAAAATAGCAGAAACGAATACACTTGATGGTCAAATGATTTGTGTTTGGTCACGGTTCTGGTACATAATGTTTCGAGTGCAAAAGCAGAATCATTTCTCTTCCTCCGACGAGGCGTCTGTCTTCTCTCCAGAGCGGCTGCGCGTGGCCAGGTCGGCAGCGCTTTCCAGCACGAGCTCCAGAGCCTCGTCTCCCTGTAGCCTTCTCACCATTTCCCCCTTGGAAGCCAAAATCTCCTCGATATTCCTTGTAAGGGACAAAACAATATATTCCGATGAAAATATACTACTTTCTAATTGAAATATTTTCATAAATAGCTACACTCTTACCTACATTACATCTAACGGTGACAGGTTCAGACACCATCTTAAAACAAAGTCGAGTGAAACGTTTAGACTTTTACAACTGGTTGTACAGGTTCGATGCGCATTATTTAAATAACCATACAACTGGCTTTTCCAGGGAAAAACCATTTGCTTTCCAACATTCCCGAGCAACTGTTACAAGACCTTTCGGTGTGGATGTGTTTCAACGGTAAAGACCCTACAGCAGCAGATGAGCGAACACGTTTCTGTCCATTCAATGTTTGTGCATTCAATAGGAATGGAGTACTGTTATAATTAGATTTGTATTCCGAAGAGACTCACTTTTTCCCTTCGAGATCTGAGAACCACCCAAGGTTATCTGCGATGATGTGGTGGTTTTTGCAGTTTGGACAGGTCACTATAACAACTCCATTGTGATAAGCAACTTTGGAAATCCTCTTCATTGATCGCGTCCAGCAAACCTAAAAGTAATTTTTTTTTTCAATTAATGGATCTACACAGAAATTACCAGTAATAATTACTAAATTCGTCACTAACAGCATGAAAAATGCTATTTCTCTTTTATTTACCTTGCAAGTGTATACCAAGTGGTAGTGACTCGAATTTATCTTTCCAATAGGTTCGCTTCTCACAGGGACAGATGTTGAGAACAGCTTAAAAAAAGATACGCAAGTTGTCCTCGCAACAGACAAAGACGTTTCTTTCCTGCTACATCTACTGAATTTCCCATGCTCTTTAGGAAAATGTCTCGCAAACGTCCGATTTCTCTGTTCTACGTTCCAACGTGGTTTTCCGAAGTTGGTATTATGAGAAAACTGACGTAACTGCAGATCTCTGGCAGTTGTTTTTAACAGCGGTACTTTGCCCGACCAGAATTTAAAAGAGCGAAGAGCCGAATTCATCATACCATAATACAGATGCCAAAATAACACAGCAAGTGTTTCAGCTGCCTGTCAATTCGCTTAATGTTGCTATACTCCTCATACTTAAAAACCATTGCATTGCTGCTACTAGTGTGTCATCACTTCCTCAGTTCGCAAGACCCGTGTAAAATAAACTCTCACGCGAAGTGAGTTGTGTACCATCTGCTGTCTCGGAGATGCTACTACAGTTACATCACAGCTAAAAGCAATATGTGCGTATGTCCTTGTTACAGTTTCTTGCGAAAGTGGGATAAGTTAATTGCGCTCCTGGCTTAAAGAAATGAGATTCTGAAATAATGTCCTAATTTTCTACATGAAATTGTTTTCATTTTTAAACAACACTACTTGTAAAATAAGATGTAAACTACAGCGCAATACGTCTTATTTAGGTGTCATGCAGTGCGGGTTTTATAATACAGCGGAGGTCGAGATTTCTTAGTAGATGAAAAAAAAAATGGAACCACATTCATATGGAGGTCAACATCATGCATTTTAATATTGCATGATTAATTAAGAAAAACACAAATAGGTTTTTGCCCAGCACCTTTATGTTTTTACGTAGTTATAGCTCTATGAACTGTGCAACACGAGAAAGAAGCTGCACTTCTGAGGGGAACATCAGAATTAAAACATTGTAAAAACAGAGGGGGTAACTAAAAAATAACAGCACTATACCAAACCTCTGCATATTCTTTGACGCATTCGTTGTTGTTAGTTTTAGGTTAGCGTGCTTTTCCATGACAGACTAACCCTTCATCTAGTCATTGTAAGTCAGGTGAATAGTTTTGAGGTTGAACAGATCGTACGATCCGGCAGAAGATCTGTCACGGTAAAGGCATCCTGGACTGCAGTTTTCCTGGCCGTCATGTGCCGTCTGTGTCTGTATTGTCGCTCCCTGTGGTGTTTTCCACCTCGCCGCCTTGGTGTTCTGTGTCCTGGTGTGTTCTTAGCGCCCGCTTTCTGTTGTGGTAATATAACACAGAGTCACGTTTCTTTTCTCAGGACAAAAATGCTGATTATCAATTACAACTCTCGCTGTTGCAACCCGCGTACCTCCTCACCACTGAAAGCAGGATCTGTTGTTCTCTCGGGATCACGCATGTCCCATATAAAACATTCCAAGACAGGAACCCACGAACTCAGTATTGCAGGTAACTAGCAACAACGAAGTGTGTCTTTACTTTATGTTGCTGAACAACATTAAAGGTCTAACATTTAAACATTAAAGTTTAAATATCTGGCTACTTTTACAATCTGCAGTTTTAATTAATCTGGGGAACTAAAATAAATGCAAGGGTAACAGTTTTGACAGCATGCTTGAAACGTTTGTTCCAGATTTACACATCCCTTTGTGGAAGGAAGTGCCTCATGATTTTGACTTTAAAGCCACTTCCCCTTAGTTTCCATGTGTGTCCTCCACTGCAGATACTTTTCACTAATAGATTTTGTCTTATAAATATATCTATTCATTTGTTTATAATTAACAGGAATTGAGAGCATTGAGGAATCACAGTGAATAATTACAACTGCAGCTTCAGCTGTGAGCAGGATATTTACATGATTACAAATTAGATTTTTCATTAATAGTTTAAACCAAAATAATTAAATGTGGCTGATTGCTTTAATTAGTTAATATTAGAGTCAACACATTGCTGACAATTTAACCCTTTGAGGATGAAGATACTAGACCATTCGATAAAAAATAACATGAAGATAGAATATTTTTTTTTCATAATATTTGAACATTTGAATTTAGATGCTAAATTGGTTGTGTTGGGAACAGTAGTCCTCAAAGGGTTAATGACAGACCTTCTATAAGCCTCAAAACAATGTCTCATTCGCCTCCTTTCCTTGTCAGCCAGCTCTCCTTTTGCAGAACCTTTCTCCTGGAAATAAAACCACAAAAGTCAATGCAACAGTTAGTAAGTATCACTCAGGGGTGGCAATGAGTGATATTTTTAACCTTTTCTTTTCAATATTTCTTAAAGCAGCTTTCCTGATCATTTGTCAGCAAGAAATGTATCTCTTATGACCAGAGGTCAGAAACACAACTGAACCCTTAACTGACCTGATCATGAGACTGATTTGAGTTTTCTAACTGTGTTCTGCTGACAAATGTGCTGAGCTTTGCTTTTTTCACAAGTTACTTTCCAGCTTCTGAGTGGATAAAAAAAAAACATTTCAATGAAGCAAGTGTTAATTCAGTAAGGGATCTGATTTAGTAAAGATCTCAGCTGAAGTGAAAACTAGCAGGTGCATGGATCCTCAGGAACAGACTTGGGAACCACTGTCTTACTGTTGTAAAATACTTGTAGTCTTTCATATTCTGACCTCTTCAAAAACAGAGCATATAGGGCAGTTCCACTCATTCATTAGCTAGATCACCCTGAAGCTTAGCACATACAGTATCACTTGTCATTGGAGGAAGAAAAGCAAGGAGAGTTGCAAATAGACGCTAGTAAATGGTGATTAGTGTTACGCACAAAGTAAACAATTGTAAGACACATCAGATAAAAAGTTATTTTCACACTCAGTTCCTGTTAGTGTCTCAGTTAGCACTATTAAAGACTAAAATGTTTAATTTTTCATCATTCCTGACTTGTTTTAAAGGACGTGCTTAATTCAAGATATAGTAGCTGTACAGTTATTTTGTAACAGTTACAGTAATTTTTTTATAGTTAATCAAATACTGTAAAGCATAATCCACCAGGCATATAAACTGGTTTCAGGAATATTTCTATGCTTAAATGGAGAATTCACTTGAGTGGGATTCTAATTTATGAATCTAGTCATAAGTGGATGTGGTTCAGGATATGGGAATTTAATATATTTAAGTACCATATTTCTGTCTTGTTAAAAGACTAAATTTCCAGTTGGGGAAAGTAAACAAAGTTAGTTTGATTGAACCATATGAAAAGAATACACCACTGGCAGAAAGTGTCCGTTATAATAGTAACAGTTAGTTACTATCTGCTACCATTGGTTGCAAACAGTGGTGTACCCACAACACACACAGTACTACTGTTGTATCATTACATGACAATTTATACTCAAACATCAGAGTATAAATACACACTTAAGTGAGATGGAGTGGAAATAGACCAAAGTTAAAGACTTGGGAAAGCCAAAAACCAGCAGCTATATCACCCTGCACCTCACCACTGGTAGCCCACTGAAGCTAAGCAGGTGTGAGTACCTGGAGGGGAGACCTCCTGGGAAAAACTAAGATTGCTGCTGGAAGCGGTGTTAGTGGGGCCAGCAGGGGGCGCTCACCCTATCAGTCCATTTGGGTCCTAATGCCCCAGTTTAGAGATGGGGACCCTATACTGTAAACAGGCGCTGTCCTTCGGATGAAACGTAAAACCGAGGTCCTTACTCTCCGTGGTCTTTAAAAATCCCAGGGTGTTTTCCAAAAAGAGTAGGGGTGTTACCCTGGCATCCTGGCCAAATTTCCCATTGGCCCTTACCAATCATGGCCTCCTAATAATCCCCATCTATGAATTGGCTTCATTACTCTGTTCTCCTCGCCACTGATAGCTGATGTGTGGTGAGCGTTCTGGCGCACTATGGCTGCACATTGGATGCACAGGTGGATGCTGCACATTGGTGGTGGAGGGGAGTCCCTATGACCTGTGAAGTGCATTGAGTGGAGTGTCCAGTAGAGCGCTATATAAGTGCAAGCAATTATTAATTATTATTATTATTATTAAAAACTAAACAGATCCTTCTGCTTTGAGCGGCTTCAGTCGGCCACACTAGAGGGAGCAATTCCAAGCATGAGAAAATTAAGAAAGTGCTTACAGCTGAAATACTGTTGCCACTGGACTTTCGGGACTGGTGAGGGGGATCCTCGATAGTGACACAAACGTTACACTTTTCAAACAGAAGTGCCTGAGGGTCTTCACTCACTGGCATGCGGGAAGAGTGAAAAATGAAACACAACAGTGATCAAGGAGAGCAATTGTGAAGGAAAAGGTTACAGATAGACTAAGATGACAAAATATGTATTATGGTAGTAGTAATAATAATTTTAAGTATTTGGTAAATGCATCAAGTGCTATATTGTATTATAGGGGCAGAGCGATGGCACTGTGGCTAAGTATCTGCGCCTGTGGCTGGAAGGTTGCCGGTTCAAATCCCACAGCCGGCAGAGGAATCCTACTCCATTGAGCCCCTGAGCAAGGCTCTTAACCCCAACTGCTCCAGGGGCGCTATACAAGGGCTGACCCTGTGCTCTGACCCCAAGCTTCTCTCCGTGTCTGTGTTTTATAGAGAGCAAGCTGGGGTATGTGAAAAGACAAATTCCTAATGCAAGAAATTGTAAATGGCTAATAAAGTGGTCTCATCTTATATAAGTTCTTTGTGCTTTGATTTCAACATAAAAGGATATCAAGCATTGATATTTACAGTAGTTATAATAATAGTTTAGCTATATCTTTCTCTCTCACACACATACACAAAGCCATATTTAATACCTAATAGTTCTTGATATCTTTAATCTCCAATGTTAACATATATATTTTAAAAGGATATATGACTGCTCTCATTACTGAACTAGACAAAAGCTCATCTTCCCACTTAAAATGGATGATGGAACAATGATTCTTTTCCAGAATTTCAAAAAGGATACAGAATGTTAATAAACATTGCTCACATTTATTAAACTCTTCCTTATCTTCATCTTGACTTGCAGGGTTCAGCAGCTTTTTGGAAAAAGGTACAAAGTTATTATTCAGGAATATACACAAGGCAAGCTGAGACTGGAGATGGTGTGAAAATCTGAAAACCTGTACTACTTCTTTCAGTGATCTACTGTATTTATGAAAGAGGAAAGATGATGTTTTAGATTAGTGGTCCAAAAGGAAGTTGGAAATAATTAAATGGGAAGTGAATGATCCCATGAAAGGAGGAACATCTAAATGTTTAAATAAGTTTTTAGCAGGTTCTTTTTTTCTGCTGGGAAATTACCAAATTCTGAAGAACAAAATCACTTTTTAACTGAGATTTATGAATACGTCAGATCTAAATAATGCCATTCAACTTACATTACTCCTTAGGGAATTATCTTCATAATCTGAAGTCTGTTGGGGGAAAAAAAAGTAAATGTTGTTTTTTGTACAAAACAAGACAAAAATAATCAGCATGCACCTCAAATGTCAAAGAGATTTTTAGTCAAGAGCTTTTAATTCAATGAATTAAAATACTTTACCCAGCAAAAGCTCTAAACCACATTTTCTAAAGAATTGCTCCTTTATGATGAAAAACTACATGCTCTAACATCCATAACTTCTTTCTAAAAAAATCATGATAAACAAAAGATTGGAAAAATAATACCCTAATTTAATTCTGCACATTCTGAGCTCAGAACAATAAAGCTTATTATTTTTGATATTTCATTATTTAGTTTACTAGTTTATTTTTGGTTATATTTTAAAGACTGCAATGATAGTGAAAACTTGAGCTCTTTGTCTCCTTTGCTATTTCAGCTAAGTCCTTTTTCAGTGGTTTCTAAGCCTACACTTGCTTGAGACAAGTTGTGTCAGCCGAACAGCAAAAGCCCTTACTGGCGTAGTGGGCTTTCGGCTGATACGTCGCATTTTGGTCTCCATGGCCAGCACCTCCCCCTGGCTCCTGAAGAGCTGGATCTGCAGCTCATCGCTGCGTTCGCCCAGTTCTCGGATCTGCTTCCTGTACAGGTCCTTGTCGACAAGGCTCTTGGAGTACTCCCGGTGATACTCCTCTCTGGTGTGGATAGCCTGACGAAATAGCCAGGCCGTTAAAGGTCAGCATTACAAATGACCATAACACAACTCAATGATTGAAACACTATACCTTTCAGAGGATGTCACTTCATGTTTGATTTTCTTGATTTTAAATAGTGTCAGATTTAGACAGGAAGATCTTAGTGTATCTTCCCCTACAGTTGGTCTTTATCTTTCCACGCATTGATAATTCTCTGCCCTAGTTTTGGGACAAAACAGGCTTCCAGTTCCCCCTGTTCTGTTCACTGAACGGTATTGGAACAAACTACTAGAGGTCAACCTTAATTGTCCCTATTTTACATTTTGAAATCTCCCAAAATTCAATTAACATATCCCTTGGCTATCTTTTGCAAAGACCAAAAGACTAAGTTACTTTATCCTGTTTTCATAGGTCACCTTTGGTGCTGGAATTAGTTTTGTTGCCCTCCTGTGCAGTTACTCTAAACATCTTTAACCTTTTTGAAATGTGCAGATACAAACTGTTCATTGCATTTCTAATGTGCTATTTACTGGAGTGTTTCAGTACAACCACTGTTGACTTTTGCTCTATGTATAAAGCCCTGTCACATTAAAAATGGCTACTCAATTCAAGTTGAGAAGAGAGAGCCCCAGTGTATCAAAGCAGACAATTCTGTGACAAAACTAAATTTTTTCAGGAGCACTGAAGGCTGAAGGTGTCACTGGACATTGCTAAGCTATAAGCTATAAGTATAATTGCTGGTCTGGAAGTTCTGAATTGCTGATCTTTGTGATTACTACAGCAATTAAGAGACAGTCTCACCTGGTCTCTCTCAGCCGTCACTTCATCCATTTGCTTCAGAATAGCTTCAATTCGGTCTTTGTACATTGTGGAGTCCTTCCTGAGAGAGGTGCACTGCAGCTCAAGCTCCTCCTTCTCTTCCATGTACTTGAATAAGAACAACAAAAACTCTTGGGTCTCACATGTTTCCAAAACAAATATATTTTAAAAATAACTGCAACCACAATTATTTCCAATCTTTCAAAATTGAATTTATCCTAAATCAAACACAATGGTTTGTGTCAGCCAGCGAGTGACATATGGGCAGAAATAAATGCCCTATGGCTTAATTGATATGACCACCATTACAGGAAGGAAACCAGAGTAAAAGGAAGTTAGGATGACAAAAGTACTTCCTGTGTTTGTTTGCATCACCTGTCATTAACTCATCCCTTGTGTGATTCAGTGATTGTGTGATCATTTGCAATCTAGGTGGTACCTTGTCTCGGAGCTCCTCAGCGTTGCGTAGCTCCTTGCGCAGGTTGTAGATGTTGTTGACCAGCTCCTGGTATTTGGCCAGGGACTGCTCCCTGTAGTCTTCCAGAGTCTGAATATACTGCTTGTCCTTCTCTGCCTCCCCAGGATTCCCCGCCTTTGTTCCGCACAGAAGATCAAATCAGACAGTTACCTTTCTACCACTGCTTGTACATATCAGAAAATGTAAGATGATTTGTTGAGATTACTCAGAGCTTCTAGCAGCACTGTGGTAAAATTCAGGTCAAATTTCTTTCTAGATTTATGCATCCTTTCCCTAAGAATCTATTACATATTACAGCATTAATGACATAGCTGTAAAGCATTTGGAAGTCACATATTGTGATTGTTAAAATGTGTATATTTTTGTAGATAATGCATGGCCATATCTTAAAAATTGCAACAAATACGCAACATATTTTACCTCCATTTCCCCCTCTATCACTTCTAACACCATTATCCAGCAGATGTAACTACTGTGTAGGAGGCAAAATAATTGGTTATCACAATGCTTATTGGCTACCTGGACAGAATTTTCCAGTTCCTGGATTCGGGCCTTGAGGAGATCATTTTGCCTCTGGATCTGCCAGATCATATCCTGACTGGGCCGCTGCTCCATGGCATTTTTCAGTGTCATGGTCCGCTTCCTCTGGATTTTGAAATCATTTTCTGCATTCATTAGGCTATGCTTTAGCTTCTCAATCTAGAACCAAGAGCAATGTAGAATGATTCGTTATTGTATTTGAAAAGGACTTACAAAAGGCACAAAAGCATAGCTGTATGTTATTAAAAGATGGTGTTCAGAACAGACAAACTAACAAGCAGGGGATTATTTAATCAGTACAGTATTCTAATCTGTGTCTAGCTCATTGATCCCATCCTACAGAATCAATAACCATCATAAGAGTTACATTATACAAGAGTTACATTATACCAAAAAAAAATGCTACATTATAATATCCATCCAACCATTTTCTAACCACTTTATCCAATAACAGGTTAACAGGAGAGCCTGAGCCTATATCAGCAAGCAACAAGGCAGGATACACTCTTTATGGGACACCAGTCCATTGCAGGGCACACAGACACAAACACAAGCACACGAACACCAGAGTCACTTTTCCCAGGAGCCAATTAACCCACCAGTATGTCGTTGTAATATGGGAGGAAAGCAGAGCCCACACAAACATGGGGAGAACATACAACGTCCACGCAGTTAGCACCTCAGGAATTGAATCCAGTGCAATGCTAGCCACTGCTCCACCATACTGCCTACATTAATTTATAAATATTATTAAAAGAACTCCAGAGGATGATATAGCAAAGAAGCACCACGTGATCATAAAACTAACAGGAATATAAACTTAGTTGGCCAAGAAAAAAAATACATATACAAGAAAGACTGTGGGCTCCTGATCTCATTACTTGTACTCAGTTGGTAGCATTACTGTTCTGAAAGCCCTCATTGATAAGGCTGGCTTCTCTCACCTCCAACTGAAGGTCTCTGTTCCTCATGAGTGCGTTGTTCTTGTCCTCGCTCAGCTTGGTGAAGTCGCGCAGCAGGCTGTAGTTCTCGTCCTTCAGCTTCCGGGCCTCGTCGCTGAAGCCGTCACGCTCCTCCTTCATCCGCCTCACCCTCTCCTGCTGTTTGCGCAGCTCGCTGTCCTTCACCTGCAGCTGCTTGATGGTGTCCTCCCGGGCCGCCAGTTGGGCCGCCAGCTCCTGACTGCGCCTCTTCTCGTCCTGGATAGCCTTCTGCAGCAGGGTCACCTCGCTCATCAGAAACTGCGTCAAGCCTGATTCGCCCGCGGTGTCTGGGAGAGGGGACAGCAAGGTTAAAACAGCTCCGGGATTATACCGAATGTTGAGACGATTGTTGTGCCTTTTTTAAGCCAAAGGAATCTTGGTAAAGAGACTGACCATGTCAACAAAAGACCTTGAATCACAGCCTGGTACAGACTCTACAAGGTAAAGTCATTTACAAGACTTCAGTCATGAAGAACTGGTAGAAGATAGAGGACTGCCAGAAAAATGGATCCTATATATAAATGACAAAGCTGTCTAACATACTTAGACCATATTAAAGCTTTAATACCTTTTGTTGTTTGAATGCCATAATTTATCTTTGAATGTGATTCAAACTGATTTTTTCAAAACTTGGCTGCCCCTTTGCCCCTGGAGTTTTATAGGGGTCTACAGACAGGTTAATGTGCTCACCAATCTCATTACGAATGCCAAATCATAAAGAGTAGAACCTCCACAAAACAGCTGGGCAGCACACATTTAGACATTAACACTCCACAACTTTGTGGCTCTTTTAATGAAATGCCCACCTATTAGGATGGAGAAGGCCCTAGCAGGCTCTTTCCCTGTGATCCTGCGGTACAGCTCTGGGTAATCAAGCTCCAGACTCTCCAGGAAGGCCACATAACCCTTATGTCCAGTCCTCTGCAGGATGTCTAGCAACACACCTAACAGATATAACACCAGACATTACCATCCTTGGAACATGAAACCACTTAACAAAACAAACTTTATTACTGCAATCAAAGAAACATATTGAAACGTTGTATATAAGGCACAAGTGTATGTGAAAATGATTTAAAGATTCAAGTTACAAAGTATTGCATCAATGAAATGCACATAAAAGGAAGCTAAATAAAAAAGATTTAACTATGGCAAGTTAAATTATATATTTCTTTGGTTATTTCCTGACTGAGGATGTGAATAAAAGCCCTTAGCAGACTTATTTTGCAGCACAGGTGAGGAACCCCATTCCTAACAGACTTAAGATCTCATTATTATTCTGCTTCATATCTTTATTGGCGTTATTAAACTACTGTATTTTTACTGCACAGATTAACTGTGCCTCCCTGGCTTAAAGAAAATGTCAATCTACAGGGAATCATCTGTTCCTGCACTCCAGCCTCTTCCAGAAACGCCTCTTTCCTTTCCTGTTCGTCAGCTCACCTACTTTCCGGCGGCGGATGACGAGGCTGGGGTCATTAAAGATCTGCTCCTCGTCCTCTGTGCTGAGGACCTTGCACTGGCGCAAGTAGGGAGTGATGCGGGACGGTTCAATGGTCTTGATGAGCAGCAGCCTGTAGTTCTCCAGAGAGTTCCAGCACTCCTCGTTCTCGTTATCAGAGATGCTGAAAGTATCCATCGTTGTGCTGCTGTCAAATGTCAGCGATCCTGCAAATTTTCAAACCAACAATTCTGGAAAGGCGTGATCTTATTAAGGAGTGATATATGATTTCTGGATATATCACTTTTTCCTTTTCTGTATAGGAAGTATCAGAGCCTGGTCTCAGTCTACAGTAGTATACAGTCTGCTCTGCCCATTTGAGCTGGTACACAGCCAACGCTTTCTTAAAAACTGGGTAACACTGGTGATTCACATAGCATAGCCAACCAAAAGCATAATATCTTTATAAGGTTTCTGAATTCAAATTGTTTTACATTATAAATAATTTCACATTTTAGTCCCTCCTCTGTCTGGAAAAGAAGTGTTCAAATTTCAAAACCAGTTTTATTAAGCAATAAAATCTGCAAGTTCCCTTTTTTAGTATATATTTTAATATGGCCTTTTCCCTGAATTACACAACATATGTTTCTGGCAGATGCATCGTCCCTCTTCAGTATAAGATGAAATAAGAGAAAGTTCAAATGAAGATCCCCTACTGATTTGGTTAGAATCCATTAGTTATATTGTTCAGTACTTAGATAAGTTTTTAACCCTTGATTTATGAAGGCATTTTAAGTGGTTCTGACACTTCAAAAAGCTTCAGATCTTGACTGACTCATAGCAAGCATATCAATCAGCTTCTAGAACACAAGGGGTACAAAGTATCAACACAGGAACTTTAAACCATGCAGTGTAAATAGGAGTGCCCCCGCGACTACTTGTACTATGTTGCTGACAAAATGGATAGAGGCACACTTAAAACACCTTTCTTGCCTACAAAATCCAGGGCTGAAAACTGCTTCACTCCATCTCCTGTTCATTTACCAGAGGTACTGGAAGAGCAAAATAGTGAAGGTAGTGAAGTGAGCCACTAAGAGAAAAAAAATACATCTGTTACCTTGAAGGGAGAGTGCCCCAGCCCAGCCAGCTGTCAGTGCAGTGAAAGCATGACTGAGCTGCTGAGGTATAAAAAGAGGAAGCCAACAGTTTAAAAAGCCTGAATAGGAGGGATCTGCCACAGCTCTATGCCTTTTCTGACTGTGATCACCCTTTCACACAGTTTTAAGGCTAACAATGCAGAAATGCACACAAATTAAAAATTAGGTTTGCGCAAATTTTAAAGAATATTGCTCCTGATGACTCTTTTAAAGTACAATAATCAATAACAGCAAAATATGCTTTAGATATAAACATATTTTCCAATACATAATATAGTGTATGATATATTACATTTTAAAAATGAACCAAAGTCATTTTCTTTTGGAGCTGCTTTTTTTTTTATGGTCCACAAACCTCTTTGATGTTTCTTATACGGGTACATACTAACAAAGACAATACACATGCCTGGCACGAAAGTTTTAATGCTTAGTATGTGCTACATGTATTTATTAATAATCCGGATTTATTTATAAGAATTGTTTGATTTCACGAGGGAAACAAATCCGTACTCTAACAAGTGTTTATTCATTTAATATTTACAGGCCTGTGGGAATTTTGTGATAAGGTTTTTTTCTAGCACTGCTCTTTAAAGATTTATGGCACTTTATAAATGAAAAAGTATGGCAATCACAAATATGAGCTGGTTACAATGCATTATCTTACAAGATAGTGTTAGCTTAACATCAACAGGGTATAATTATCACTTTATATGTAGATATCCTCCTTTGACATATGAGGGAAAGCCCCAAATATATATGCTTTTTTATACTTCTGGAAAAGGAAATCAAAAGAATTTTCAAAATCATCACTGAAAAAAAAGTTGCACTTGAAAATTACCATTGTCTATCAAAATTATCTTTAATATAATGTTTATGTTTTACTTATTTCTCATAAATATATATATATAAATACATAAGGGATAGTAGTTATTGGAAAGAAACTACACATGACATTATATTACAAAATTACATTCCTGAAACCTTTTTTAAAGGCTACGATGCATTAAAGTGTCAGGACTATTAAGTGATAAAAATGTTTATTCCAAAATACTTTAACATTTATTACAATATATATAGAATTATACAACATACTCCATATATTCAGTGACAGCATAACACTACATTCTTCAAAAAAAGCTAGACAAAATTCAGTGTACAGAACACCACCAGGCTTTTCTGCCTTCAACATCAGAACAAAGCAAAACATTACAAAAAACAAAGTTAACACATCTAGGATATTTTCAAAGTATTTTACTTAATGGATGCTTTCTCAAACAGAGAGATGCAAAGAGGTTCTGAACAATATTGCAATTATTTTCGTTTTCCTGATGTATAGGTAGCCAGGAAATTAGATCAAAACTTTGTAGACCATCTGTTTGTTGTCCCTTATCTTTTGAAGTCTAATATTTCACTAATAAGAAAAACAAAATGATTTCCCCTACAGATTGTTTTACGAGGCTGCTTTATGTATATAATTTTATGATGATTTATAATTTATATTTTTTAAATTCAGTAATAGAAGGTTAAGTGGTGTAATCTCTTGTATGAAGGCCCCTACCTCAGACCCTACCTCTGTGACCCATTTTAAAATTATTCTACCTCAACTAATCCAGCACCATGGTGAACTCTGTGCCTCTGTCTTGTTAATTCCCTGTTTCTTTGAAGGTGTATCAGTTATGTGCGTCCAAAGCAGAAGTCTGAAATCACCAGAGTGAACCAAGTTAGGAATCAGCGCTGCTTTCACACTCTTTTCAGGAAGCGGCTCCTTCTTCTTGTTGTCATTCCCTTGAATTCGTTGGCAACAGCACCATCAGTGGAAAGGAGGGATGGGTTCACTTCAGGCCTGGCCTATAATCAAAAACATATGGACAGGTGAACCAGGTTTCACACAGTCGGAAGGGCAGATTACTATATACTATTATCACTCTGCAACTCACAACTGGCAACCCACTGAAGCTCAGCAGGTGTGACCCTGGTCAGTACCTGGATGGGAGAGCTCCTGGGAAAAACTAAGGTTGCTGCTGGAAGAGATCTTAGTGGGGCCAGCAGGGGGCCCTCACCCTCCGGTCTGTGTTAGTCCTAATGCCCCAGTATAGCAACGGAGACACTCTACTGTAAAAAGTTGCCATCCTTCGGATGAGACGTAAAACAGAGGTCCTGACTATTTATGGTCATTAAAAATTCCAGAGTGTTTCTCGAAAAGTGTAGGGTTGTTACCCTGGCATCCTGGCCAAATTTGCCATTAGCCTTTACCAGACATGGCCTCCTAATAATCCCCATCTATGAACTGGCTTCTTCAATCTGTTCTCCTCCCCGATGATAGCTGTTGTGTGGTGAGCTTCATCCAGGTGGGGGCTACACATTGGTGGTAGAGGGGAGTCCCCATTACCTGTAAAGTGCTTTCAGTGGAGTGCCAGAAAAGTGTGATACAAGTGTAAGCAATTATTATTACTATTCTCCTTATTCTTATTTTTATTATTATTATTGTTGTTGTTATTATTATTAAATAAAATGTCCATCAAAAACCTAATTCTTTCAGTCTCTCCAGTCTAAGATCCCCTTACTTTCATTCCCTTCTTTGGTTCACTCTGAACTGCTGTAAATCTAAGATTGATTACTTTTTAACATGCTGTTGTAAGAGGAGGTTTTAATTTATTCATTTTCCTGAAGTGCAAGAGCCTGTTTTAGGGAAAATGATGTCACTTCCTTGATACCTAGGTAATGGAGAATTCTTATTGGCACAAGGGAGTTCCCCGCTGTCTAGGGAATGGTACTGTGTATGTTCTGAACCTGTGAATATCAATGATTTCATCCTGGCAGGAGCAGTTGTAGATATTAGATACAGTGGTGGATATAGTAGTAGATAATAAATATCTCAGTGGCATATAACCCAGCTTCAACTTCTCCACCCCTGCCGAGTTGACTTATGGCCCAAGCTTTGTGAATCAGAACTATCGTTAGTGCTGGAGGTACACATACCAAGACTAAATTGTTAAAGGCTTATAGAGTACAACTGGCCTTAGCACTTATACCTTACTGAGAACCAAACCAGAAACTGAATTATCTTATACTCCTTATTAATTAAACATGTTTTCTATTGTTTTTGACTGTCTGGACTCAGGTCACCAGCAGACATCCTTACCTCATTCACACACTGCAGATCTGCTTCCTTGGGCTCTTCTGAAGTGGGAGGCTGTGCGTCGTTTCTGCGCTCCACGTCCTCCTCGAAGTCGCTGTCCGAGGAGGACAACATAGCAGGGCACTCAGACTGGCTGAGAAAGGGGATGGTGGCCAAGAAAGCTGGCAGAGTGAAGCATGCCAGGAAACGAGCTTTCAGGAGGAGGTAGGCTGGATTGTTCCCGAGTTTCTCTGCAACCACCCTCCGGAGTGCTTCCATGTCCACTTCTCCACTCGGGCTTGGCTCTTCCCTGCGGTCCTTGGCCAACAAGGCCGAGGCGTTCTTCTCCAAGGACTTCTTGTGGGAGAGGAGGCAGGAGAGGTTTTTCAAGGTACACACGAAAGGAGGCAAGTAGGGCAGAGAGACGTTCAAGTTGGGGAGCTGCACTCCCCCTTTTCCAGTCAGCCACTCGTTCACTTGGCTGTCTTCCTCCAGAAACATGAGGTTGAGGTCCAGAACTGCTCTCTCCACCTTGGAGGCTGAATTTTGAGAGGAGGCTGTGTGCTTTGGAGACGAGTCTGAGGTCACAGGTGTCTGGGAGGGCTGAGAATGGGGGACACTTTGTTGCTGCGTATTGACCTGAGGTTGAGCTGCAGGTAACAACTTGGGAACGGAGGGTACACTGTCAGTAGGAAGGTTGCCAGTGCCTTTCTGTAAGCTTGGCTGGACACCATTTATCACACTTACGCCCTGTTGGACAGCCAAAATAGGTCTAAATACTCGACTTGCAGTTTGTGTAGTGGTTGCCAAGGGAATGACAGTGGGTGAAACACTGCTGCCAGCTGGGACAGAAACAGTGGTTGTTGTACAAGTGGCTGTGATAGACGGAATGCAGCTTGCAGCTGAGGCAGAACTGGATGGTTTGCTCAATGGCTGGCTTGTGCAAACTGTATCAGCTGATTTGACGGTCGCTGTCTGTAAAATCGCAGGAGCTGGTGAAGTGTTAGTAGTTGCCACAGCAAGGCTTGCAGTGCCGCCAGTGGCATTTAGTCCTGTTGCAGGCAAAACACTATTAGGGGAAGTGGATGTCTGCTGTCCTAGCTGGCTCACAACGATGGGTGTTTGAAGAGAATTAGCTACACCTAACACAGGCTGTGAGCAAACTGGTAGCAGGCCTTGAGGAGTCATTATCCAAGTAATGGGCACAGGTAGAACAGGGCTACCTGCAGCTGGGGACAGAGCCACCTGATTTGCGTTCAGGCTGTTTCCAGGTACAGAATTTGGCAAGACAGGAGCTTGAGGTAAGCAAGACTCATTCTTCTGTGGCATCGCCTGTACTGATGGGTTGGTAGATGGTTTCCCTTTAGGAGCTTGCGCATCTTCCTTCAATGCCAGTGATCTTTCTGATGATTTCTTGGTCTCTACAGCGCATCCCATTTTCTCACTCGGGACAGCAGTGGGCTTTGAAGCAGATGACGTGGAGGCCACTGCTGTAGAGGGCATGACAGGTTGCGCCGCCTGCTGCCAGGGCTGTTGTATCACAAAGGTCTGGGGAATCATCAGGACAGGAAGGAACATGGTCTGTTTTTTCCGAGCTTCCTTCTTCTTCCTGGCCTCTTTCAATCGCTTTTCGTACAAGATTTGGGCCACAGTTTTTGTGCTATTTAAAAGTGAAGAATTTTTGCATATCATCTGGGTAGGGGGTACCGTTTGCATGGCTGGAGTCCAAATAAGAAAATACAATAGGAAACACAAATTAAAGTTACAAACAAATTACAAAAAACACAAATAAACAAACTTAAAGTGCAAAAATACTAATATATTTCTATATTAAAGTTATATATCTGCAGGAAATACTCCAGTAAGAATTACCAACCCGATGTTGCTAATTTCACTCAGCTGATGTGAAATTAGCAACACCAGGTTCCTTGTAGTTCAGCACTGACTGGAGGAGAGGCGTGTCCTTCACCACCAGTACTGCATTCCTGCAAGTGCGCGAGAAGCTACAAGTGCTGCTCAGAGCCGAAAGTCCCAGTCCCATCCTACTGCTGGCATCACAGTCAACTCTGGCAGTGGAATCCTCATCATCATCAGTTATTGACATGACCCAGACTCAAATCCATGATCACAGAGCTCAACCTGTGCTCAGGTGAGCACCTTTGATGGCTCAGCACTCTGGGCATCACCTTTATACAAAATATGCGAATTATTAAAAGTAGATAAATTCATGACGCACCTTTACTTGCGCTCTTATTATTTGAGGGCTCCTGAAAAAGAGAAAAGCACTTTGACAAAGTGGATCATATAATACAGTATAAAAAACAGACTTAAACATCTTTTGATATTTTGAACCAGTTGGTACTACAAACATATTACAATCTCATCATTGAACACATAGTTACCACTCAGACAAAACTGCATTAACACTAGAATGCATCCTAGTACACATCAGCAAATAAGACTTAATTTAACTTCTGGCAAATATCTCTGAATGGAGGAATGTTGGAATGTGGAATGTTTTACTTTTTGCGGTGTCAATAATGATTTCAGCACACCTTACCATTTTGTTTCGCTCCTCTATGACTTTCTTGCAACCTTCTGCATCGATGTGAAGAACCTGGTATAGAAAGGGGGAAGAGAGGTATAGTTACCACAGTGACATCACATACATCCTCTGCACTTGTGTTGCCGGTCTAGATCTGCTGGCATTAGACCCCCCTGAAGCACTCCGTAAACTTTACTGTACCAGCATTAACTGTACATACCTCACTCACATATACCAAAGTTCTCTAGAACAGGACGCTACCACAACACCTGTAAGTAGGAAGCAAGTATACCCTGCATTTGTCACAGAGTGACAGCACAGACAGAGTGACAGTGCAGGCTTCATATTGAACTGCTGGCATGCTTTTGCAAATAAATATATGTGAATATCAACTACAAAAATAATTATCTGGTGTGCTAAGTTTTTATTAAAAAACCTCTTTTGTTCTAATCGGGTCTACCTTATGTAGACCACTGTCCAAAATAAGTTAACTAGAAAGAAACCCATTTAAGACAACAGTAGAAAGTCGCATAAAGAAAAGCCTAAATTTATTTATACGTTTTAAAGCAGAAAGCACATTTGGCCTAGAAGACATGCGCACAAATATTCAATAAATGGAATCGACATAAAACGTAGGGCTACTCACTTTAATAAGCAGAGTAAAGACTGGAGTGCTGGTGAGGCCAATGTCCTCCGCTTTCTCTCTGATGACATCAGCTATAATGAAAAACAGTATCTTCTTGAGTTTTTGAGTACCTTTTGTTTTATCAGCAGTCTTGACACTTTATTTCAGCCCCAAGACCTGAAGCAGCAGATTAACATGTTTTGCTGCTGAATGTTAAACATTACTTTACACAACTGTAGCACCTATCCAAAACTTGAAACTTCAACCTACACCAAACACAGAATGCCAGCGCTTTTTGGTAATGAATAGCAGCAGTCCAAGATCAAGTCATTATAATAATAAACTTTATTTTATATAGCGCCTTTAAAGGTGGCTTCTCAAAGCGCTTTACAGGATGACAATAACGATAAATAAGAAGACTACAACAATAAATAAGAAGATTTCACAAGATAAGACACAATTACAACAATAACAATAGAGGAGACCGTGGAAGGTGGTACTAAGAAGAGCAGAGGGGTAAAGAATGGAACCAGTTAAGTAAAGGCTTTCCTGAAGAAGAAGGTTTTGAGTCTGGATTTGAAGGAGTTTAGAGAAGGTGACTCTCTGATATCCTTGGGCAAAGAGTTCCAGAGCTTGGGGGCATAGCAGGAGAAGGCCCTGTCGCCCATACAATGTAGATGGGCTTGGGGGACAGTAAGGAGGGCAGAATTTAAAGAGCAGAGGTTGCGAGGTGGTGAGTAAGCCTTATAGGTGAGCATGAGGATTTTTAAGTCTACGCGGAATTTGACAGGAAGCCAGTGCAAGGACTCCAGGATAGGAGTAATGTGAACACTTGCACTAGACCTGCTCAGGATTCTGGCTGCTCAATTTTGGACATAATGCAGTTTGTTCAGAGTAGATTTAGATACCCCAGCAAGCAGAGCATTGCAGTAGTCAATTCGAGAGAATACAAATATGTTGATCAGCTTTTCAGCCACAGTTAATGATAGCACAGGGCGTAGTCTTGCGATATTTCTAAGGTGAAAAAAAGATGTTTTGACAGTATGCTGTACATGTGGGTCGAATGTTAACCCAGAATCGAATATAACCCCAAGGTTTTTCAATTTTGATTGAAGCTCAAGTACAGAGCCATCTACAGATAGGGTTACATGACTGGCTTTACGAAGTTGATGGGGGAATAAGCAAGACTTCAGTCTTGTCACAGTTAAGATGAAGGAAGTTTTGAGTCATCCAAATTTTTATGTTAGAGATGCAATTAGATAGAATAGAGACAGCCACATCAGTGTCAGGTTTGGTATGGATGTATATTTGAGTATCGTCAGCGTAAAAATGAAAGCTTTTCATTAGCTACTCGGAACTGAAAATTAAAATAACTAAACAAACAGCAGCATTAAGACTAAAAGCCATCTGCCGCCACTTGAGGGTTGTGTTACAAGATTTACATTTAACCACAGTGACATCTCACTGTGAAAGTCAGCACCTTCTCTGCGCTTGTGTTGCCGGTCTAGATCTGCTGGCATTAGGACGTTGCCCACCCAGGGGGTTACAGCTATCAGCAGCTTTTCATTGAGCGCAGAGTTTTGCACCTGTTTCCCCATTTTGGCTAAACTCTTTGTGCCCTGGCTCTTCTGAAGGGCCTCTTCAGCTTCTGCCTTCTTTTTCTGCAGCGGTTTTTTTGTTCTAGTCTGCAGGAGAGACACAATTCCAAATTGTAATGATGTTAAGAGCAAGAACCATTTCTTCAGACCTGAGCCTGCCGTATATCTGGGAAATAATTGGACTTCCTGTGCATCTTACGAGAGTCTCCTCTCCTTCATCTGCTAATAACATTTCCTATGTTTTATTCACCTCTTGGCACACAGTTAAATGCAGAACTAACTAGAAATACTTACCAGATATACTTACTAAAATACTTACCACTGTGTGCTGAAACTTGGTTTTGCTTCTCAGGAGATTCCTCACTTGATTGTAAGTGACCTTAAGCATTTTGTTTCCACTCTGAGAAGTCTTTGATTAATAGAAAAACAAAGAGTACGGTTTAGGCTTTAAACATCTTTTTTTTTTGGCAAAATCATAATTTATCTGTGGACAATCAACTCTTTTTGAATGACAAAGTCTTATTTTTCTAGCACAAACACTGAGGGAGGCCTTTTGGTGACTCACCAAAGTTATTTAACATGTATCCTTTACTGTGACGGATCTGTAAATATGCCTGAAACATCATCTACATTTTAAACTAAATGTAATTCATGCGATTTACTAGGTTTAAAAAATTGCAATAATTTTCCTGGCCAAAATCCGTTTCAAGGGAAAGGTTTTAGTGTATTGAGCCTCACACAAGCAGCAGTGTTACCTCTTCCAGCAGCGTGGAGCTGGTGTTTGTCTTGCTACTCGACACCTGCTGCACATCCCCGATGACGGTGCAATTCTTGGCAGTAGTGGTAGGACCGGCAACGTGCTGTGGGTCTGAAGAATGCGCAGGAGTGGAATGTGGGGGGGGATGGTTTTTTTTCTCTGATTTGGATATCACTGTTGGCTTCCACAAAAGCTGGGTGTCATCTGCCCTTTTTGGCTCCGTGGGGATCCAGAGATCGATACTCGGCATGTGGTACTCATCCTTCTCCTCACTGACTTCGCTCTCTCTGTCCTCCTGACTGTCTGACTTCTCCGGGTCAGAGCTCGCAGCCCCCCATTCGTCCGAGTCCTCGAACTCGGAGCTCGGCGGTTTCCACTTCATAGACGAATGCCTTCTTCTCTTCCTCTTCCTCTGGGTGGGCTCCATCTTTTTGGCCTGTCTTCTCTTTAGAGGTTTCCGGCAGTGACCAAAGTCAGGACCCACAACAGAGAAAGAAATTTAGAAAGGATGCAGTTCAATTTGCCAGAAACATACCATTCCCTCATATTCTCTTACTTATTATACATTTTTGAATTTCTGAATAGATAGAACACCAGCCTCTGATACACAATATGCTTTTCTTTAATGTTATACATACAAAATTGACATATTACTGTTTAGAAATCATAAAAGTCCCACACAATCACTTGTCTAGTGCCACAGATAAAAGTGGAAATAATTGTATTCCATTAGTATTTAAGTCTTGTGTGATTTGTAGAGGCAGGTAAATAAACTGCATAAAAGAGCAACCAAAGTTCAAGTAAAACCTTTGTATTCTACACAGTCAAACCGTTTTTCAGCATCTGCTGAAATAACTATAACACAGTCCACTGTTCTCTACCTCCATAGGCACTGAAGAGTCACTAACTTAAACACATCAACGTGCAAAGACATTATATTAGTGATGACTAGCTGCATCTTAAGATGGACAACATCAATCATCTGTCTGGAAAACACACTGTAGTCCACATAGGCCGAGGATAACTGCACATTTCTTAGGTATTATTTTGCATTTCCTTTAAACATGAAGATACTGAGAAAAGACTTACCTTAGGTCTTGTTAAGAGTTTCCATTTTTGTAAACACTGGCAATCTACTCTGTTTTCAATCTCGGATGCAATTTTAGCCCAGCGCCCTGACAAAAATCAGTACAGAACAACACATTTAGAAAACAAAAGCACAAAAAATGCACAGACCCCACCAAGACATTAACATTTTCTACCTCAGTAGCTCCCATAAAGTGCTGAATTGCAAATCAAAGGCTCATGCAACCAGATGAAATCATAAAAATAAATGACCTTAAAACCACTAAAGCAAATACATGTGTCAAATTTATAACCATTTACTAATTGCACAATTTACAAGCTATTATGCAATGCAAACATATGAATAAAAAGTATTCAAAATTGTGAATTTATACAAATGAGAGTGATGTGTATTTGAAAGTAACAGTTCTCTGCTGATGTAAATCACCCTAGATAAGAGTGTCCATCAGCAAATAACAATAGTAACTTGGAATTGTAAAAAAGAGGACTTTGCATATTGACCTACAGCTACTTGAACATGTTCAGTACTCAACAGGCAATGCCTACCGACTCCATACTTCTCCACCAGCATTATGAGTTTCTGTTCTTCGTCTGGGCTCCACTTGCCTTTCTTCACATCTTCACTCAGACTGTCTAAGTATCTGTAAGGCACACAGCACAGCGTGTCCTTTGATGCACAGGAAAGCATTCTGAAGAATCTACTATGATCATGGCTTAACTCATTTAAAAAAATACACATACTGAGTAAGTGTAATTGTTTTAGTTGAGCATTCCCTATTCAAATAACTAGTGTTCTAGCAGTACGACAGAAGCACAAAACATACGTTTATATACACACGTTACAATACAGGACAATCATCTGGGCTGTTGCATCATATGCGATACAGCATCACATGTATGTATCTCTGCTCACAGGGGTCAGAAAGAGGAAGAGACTCAATCCATCCGTTGTCAGTAATTACTTTATGCTTACAGGCTCATACTGAGCTGAACTATGCCCGCATGGCATAACCACCATTTGTGACCTTGAGGATTTCCACCTCTCCTCTGGTAGACTGCAGTGATATTAGTGCTCCCCAGTATGTAATGTTATTGTCCAGCATCACAAGTTCCCTTTGGTCCCACTATACAGTATAGTGTATACCAAGCTTCACCGATCTATGTTTTTCATGATACAGTTTATTTTGCTTTGAGAATCTCTTTTGTGGCCTCAGATTACTAAGAGTCAAACACTATGAGTCTCTTGCAACAATGACAGTTACTGTTACTGTTGATGAACACTGTTGTAAGGTCGTGGTCCAAATAGTGACCTAATGGATACTAATTATTGAGAATCATGAACAACAATCACCTGATGGATGGCTTGGTAGGATATGTTACAAGCATTAGAATGATTAATGAGCAGTGCATATAATTATTGTCTACCGTTGCGTGTTCAGGAGAGAAGACTTTACTTTAATTAATTTGTATATGCTCTTCGGCTTAAACGAAATGCCATTCTAACCTGTCCCTGCACTGGGTATCACTTCTGCCCGGGACTTCATCCCGAATTTTCCACCAGTCTCGATGGCCGTATTTCGCCACAGCCCGCAGTAACATCTGTAAAAAAAAAACATTGCCACCAATTTATATCTGACCGCACCTTTTGGTAACTCAGTCCTCCACTGCGGTAGCCCCTTGTGAGTTAGAGGCGGTGTAAAACATTACAAGAAAAAGAGCGCTTTCAGCTACACTCTCTAGCCAGTCAATGCCTTCACTTTGACACACTGCTTGTTTCCCACTGTAACGATGTCCAATGTACAGGTTCACATCCCTAAATACAACTCCCACACTTGACAGAGTTGAACAGCTGACCTCGTCTTCAGCCTTTGTCCAAGGTCCTTTTCTCAAGGAAGGATCCAGAGACTGTGTCCAGCGGTACACCAGCTGAGACGCCTCCCTCCCTTCCATGAAATACGAAACTAAATGGCAAAGACAAAGTAAAATAATCCTCAGCAGCGGAATCATTTAAGCAAGTGTGGACCAATTAAATAACTATGGTCCTGTCTAGAACAAAGACCTGCACAAAACTTAGACAACATCTACTACTGCATATGGATTTCTGCACAGACCCACACTGAGTTCGCTATGGCCCAGGGTTCTGTGGCTTATCGTTTCATAAACCTGAGCTCTGAAAGCCTCAGACTAATTTATAAAAGGCAATGATTTATCAGATCAATAAAAATGCTGGCTGCATCCAAGCTAAAAAAAGTAGGCACATCATTTTATGAGCACTTTTCAAGAAAATGTGGTAAAGAAAAACAAATAAATGAAGTAATAAAAGAAAAAACAACAAACAAGTGCAGCAAGAGCAGCATGTATCAATCCATTCTGTCACCCCTGTGTCTCAAGAAACCTTACTCTGAGTATAGGGGATGTAGCTCCCAATCCTCATTTTTTCCACCAGATCTTTCAGCATCTGATCCTCCTCCTTTGTCCAGAACTTCTTCCTGAGACCTTTGTTAATGTAAAGCTGGTATGCTTGCAGACACATGTAGGCAGTTCTGTCCGTCTGCAACATCAATTGAACAATTAGAGTTATACAGTTACACCCGTACCACTGCACAAGAGGTAAATGAGTTTTAAGATTATGGCACGAGAGGACTTCATAACTTTGAGCTGTCTTCTCCTCTCAAATCTCAAGCACCTTGACCTGAATTTAATTACATTATAAATCAGATCCTGACTGACGTGACTACAGGCTCCTAATGGCTCGACTAGGAAAGGTGCTTACTACGTCTTCTAATTGGACCTTATAATCTTGATGTATATCTGAGCCTGGGCTTGAATTAGCTGGAATGGATCAAACAGCAGCACCCTGGCACCCTGCATTGTTCATTTCACTTGGTGCTAAAGCCTTCTGTCATGAAACAGTAGTTAGATCAGAATGCTCCTCAATCTCCTACAGCAGTCAAAACGATGGAGCACAGTTGATTTTTTTACTTTAGATGAAATCTCATTTACATTGATGAGACCCAAGTGCAAGCAGGACACAGTGAAGTACCTGACTCAAGGTGCAATAATACTGTCCGCTCCGGCTGTGAGTCTAGACTCCCAACCAATAATTCTTACTACTGTCCCTGATCAGTAATTTGCAATCCCAAATTGGGGGAAAATATAAAAAGAAAAATAACAGAACTCCAATTTTTTAAAAAGATGTCAAACACCGACATGACCAACGAAATGCAGAGACCTTAAGTGTTTGGGAAGAGACGTTGTGCTGGCATCAACAGAGAGGTGTGATTGGATGCCCATGGCACGGCTGCAGTTCATCTCTCAAGCATGGAGTGAAAGCCCCAACCCATTACCTTCAGCTCCTCAGCAATCTTCTCCCAATCACAGCAGTCGTACTTCGCCGCTATCTCCTTCAGGCTCTCAATTTCATCTTCTTTCCAGCTTGACTTGTTGATAGATGGATGCCCGTAGTTTTGCCAGTACCTCTTTATATCGTCTGCCTTATGCATCCCTTCGAACTGCAGAAATCCAAAGAGAAGAGAACTAAGGGATAGTGTACTGGCATTTAATTTTTTATACGTGATTTAAAAAAGATGCTTATAGATTTCCAATAAACACTACATTACTCATTACCCGGTGTCACTTAAACTAAGTAACGTGCTTCTATTTTTTTTGTTTTTGTAATTGTTCATATTGTGGCAATTTTGTAAATTTCTTAATTCTGAAGTTTATTTGTTTCAGTTATTTGAACAGCAGTTTACATGTGGCACCAGGATGTAGGATGTATGATGAATGCTTTGGGCCGACTCCCATTCTGGAGAAATATCCACTACATTGCATCTCCTGGAGGTATGGACAAAGACTTATTCTATGTTTCAGTCATGTCACACAGCAGACAGAAGCCCTGTGGACAAGCCCCTGTGGCATAAATGTAAAATGGTGTCTTTTAAATTGAGTGCTCTTGGCTTATGACTCACACTTTAGATTATGTTGTATAAATGAAACCTTACTAGATATCAGATTAATCATCAATTTCGTATAAATCAAGGTTCTACACAATGATGACAGGGCATCCACAGATAATAAATAGGGATAAGATTAGGTTAAGGATAAAATAAACACTAATGTGTATCAACTGATGGTTTATTATCATTCTAAAGAATCTCATTGTATTAACAACAATCTAACACATTCACAAAAAATACTCACATCAATATTTGAAATCTTTTCCCAGTCGTGCTCACCTAAGCGACTGCCTACCAGCTGTTCATCTGACATCTCACTTGGGAAAAAAAAAGGAAATAAAATCAGTAGAGATACAGTAACATGTTTAGTGACAATTAGGGGAAAAAGGAGAAAGAGCTCTAATTTTGAAGGAACAAATATCTTTAACAGAGGAATACAAACTCTCACATGGCATGAAGCACAACAAGAATGCCAATACACTTACTCAGCTGGAATGTAATTATAGAAAAAGCACTTTCACATCTCAGGCTCACAGAGACAGCAGACTACTCTTTAGCAAAATACAATCAGAACCACACAAAGCACTATAGGTTCTTTCCATTATATCTCTGTTGGCTATGACCATTTAATTAAAGTGCTGCGCTACTGAATGAAATTTAAAGGCTGGATACACTTTTCATTTGTACATTCTGCATCCAAACAATCCTACCCATTTACCTATAATAGAGACAGAAAAGACTCAGACCGAAAACCAACAATAAAACAAATTTGGTTTGTAATGTAACAATGTTAAGTAGGCTGAATATCAATGATATCTATAATAAACATTTAATACAAGCACCCCTTAACAAGCTAAAAAAGAGGATATTAAGCAGACCCGAGCATGTCTTAGATACTGTCCAGTTTGTCCCAAAAGTAACACTCACGACTTCTGCTCGGAGGATACAGAGGATTTGTTAACCTTGCAGTATGTTTTAATATTTTATAATTGGGAGCATGTTATTTATAATAATTATGAATTTCAGAGTTTAACTTTCACTCATGTCCTTATCATGATTGATAACCAGAATGTTCTTCTGGCCAGAACACACCGAACAATTTTCTTTCATATAATTACAACAAACTCATTTATACTCATTATACTCATTTATTTACTGCAGATGTTCTTGATATAGAAAGAAGCCACTTACTTGATCGCATCAATTTCCCGCTCTGTCTGTTCGATTTGCTTTTCCAGAATTTGCTTCTCCATGTTCTCGGCCTTTTGTAACTTCTGGGTCATGTACTCAATCCTTCAAGACAGACAAAGCTACGTTGTGTCTCAAACATTCAAAATACCTAGTCTTGGCTGCCTCTTATTTCATAGAAGGTGAAAAGAATCTGTAATGCTACCTTATTCTGTTTTACACAGATTACACATTGAGCTTTGTACTAGTGTCCTAATTACAGATGCTATATGCTGGAAAGCAATCAATATATTCAGATATTTTAAACCACTTTGACAATTCTTTATTTTAAAGGAAATATTTACATCAACATAAAAAGATTTTGATATTTTTATCAAAGTGTTTTGTATTTTTCCACTTCATTCTGAATCAATGTGAAATTCTTCATTGCTTCTTTGTGTTTCAACTCAAAGCAACAAATCCTGCACCTCACTTGAAGAACAAGAAAATACAGACAATTCTAACCTGTCACACCAGCAACCATTTATCAGACACTTTGCAAACTCTAAGTGCTGACTGGGACTCCTGAGTCCTCACCTGAACCCAGCTTGACAACCACGGTTACTGATTTGAATTGATTTGGGTTCTTGGTGACGCAGTGCACCATTGGTTGAGTGAACTGAATGGTGCAGTAGGATCAATCTCAGGGGCTTTCTCAGATCTTGGTGACATGGCAACCCCTCTGGCCTCCCAGGCTCTTGCAGGCAAGGGGTACCACTGTCATTGAAGGACATGTCTCTCTTGCACCTGCAGCTACATTTTGAGAACGGAGCTCTGTAGTCCATAATGTGTAAAAAGACAAGCGGGTCGAAGTTGGGCAGGTGGGGAACTGTATGTCTACACTCTACATCTCCCTCATTGTGAGCCTTGCAGGGTCCATAGCCATGCGCCAAGATGCGATGCATACACCCTTAGCGGTTTCAAAGCAAGTGGGTTCACAAAAAATAATAGGCGATTCCGAATTGGAAAAAAAAAGTTGCTGCTGAAAGGAGGAGCAGCATGATTCTCACTGATGTGACGGCATGGGCTCAGCAAGTAGCAGGGGCTGCCAGAGAGATCCCTGGCCAAACACTCCCAATCCTCCCTCGGCAGTGCTTTGCAAATTTTGCAACAGGCCATTGAAAATCCTGGTCACCATCACCTGAGGACATGGCTAAGGTTCAAACAATCATTTAAAATACAATCTGTGTTATGAACACATTACACTACTTGCTGGTTAGAAAGCCAGGTTGGAAGGTTGTCAGTTCAAATCCCGCAACCGGCAGAGGAATCCTACTCCGTTGGGCCCCTGAGCAAGGCCCTTAACCCCAGCTGCTCTAGGGGCGCTGTACAATGTCTGACCCTGCGCTCTGACCCCAGGCTTCTCTCCCTGTCTGTGTGTCTCATGGAGAGCAAGCTGGGGTATGCAAAAAGACAAATTCCTAATGCACGAAATTGTATAGGGCTAATAAAGTGATGTTATAAAGTGATGTTGTTACACTTACTTGAACAGTTTGGGCTGCTGGAGCCGCTTCCTGCTGTCATTCACCACAGCCGAATGCAGAAGGGCCTTGTGCCAGGGCAGCCCTGAGACACACAGAACTCACATTTCAAAGGAGTACTCCACAGTACATCCAGGATTACCTTTCAGTACTCTTACATGATTTTAACTGCTGGACGACACCGAAGTTCTGTAATCAATATCTCCTCCTCACTTGTTTGATTTAGTTTCTAACTCAATTTAATGTTGGTAGTTGCTTTGAGTATTTCACTAGGCATTCCAAGTACAAGATAACCCAATGTATTTCACAAATGTTCTGTTAATATAAGATATTTTAAATTTTCTCTGACTTTTTCCAGGCCTGACATTATGTTGTTAGTTCTCCATGTTCTATGGGATTTGTGGGAAACCTGTGTACTGCTTGTTGTTAAAAAGTGGAGCAACCCTCACCAAACAATGCTTAACTTACTAAGTATTTTTTAAGGAAATAAAAAAAGTTTTTTCTTTTTGAACTAATTTGCTATTAAACTTAGACTTTGTGTTATAACCTTCTTGTAATATTAAGCAAAGACTTAGGAAACTGATCTGTAGATACAGATTTACAAATACAGATTAAGATCCTTTTGGTAAAAAGTAGAACTAGTTATTTACTATAAGTAGTATAATGCCTACATCTACATTATTTTCAATAACTCCATCATCACACTAGCAGAATTAAATTCTTCCTATGCAAACCTACATCTTTTAGCTGTCAAATCTTCAAAGGTCTTCATCCCTTGTGACATTTTTTCTCTCATTTCTGGATTAGCTGGTGGCCCCTTAGATTAGAACAAAACAAGGAAGGACAAACTCGGTTTTAACAAAATCTGCATCTAGTTCATACTAGCCAGACTAAGGTCATATAATGGAAATCTGTTAAATTTTCACATACAGACTTAATACAGGACAGTTACAGGAATTTACTCATTACCTCAACTGAATATAAAATAGAATTTAACAAATGTGACAGATTACAAAAAAGGAAAAAAGGAAGTGTCAGAGATCACAAAGATAACAGGGAGAAGTGAGGGAACTTTCTGGTCAGCATGTGCACACTACTTACAAGACCAGTAGACTTATCCCTGAAGTAAGGCTTTAGGAAGCTGCCCAGGTGCAGTTTCATTGGAGGTAAATCATTAGAAGTGGGCTTTGGTACTGATGCTCCAGACACTTCAATGAGGATTTCATTCTGTTTGGGGATAAATACAAGTGTAATGAGAATTATGTGCTTTATCTGTTGCAGGGAAAATTTAAAAGCTTTAGTGCAGAATTTGTTCTTATTGCACACAATGTTTTGCACTTGAGCTTGTACAGTAGCTCACATTTCTAAAAGCAATGTAAACCTTCAACAGGCAGTTGCTTTTTACTTTAGGGTTCTATTGATTTGAAACTTTAAATCCTTTTTTTTCCCAGCATATGTTCATTAATTAATTAGTTACTATGCAAGCATCAGCAAAGCCTCCTGGCATAAGTTCTGGAAACAAAGAGAACCGAACGGCTCAAAATCTATAATAAACAAGACATCAATTCCTGGGCTCCAACATTGTTCATCTCATTTGTTTGTCCTCCTACTTCATCCTTACTCAATTACTTTCCAGTTTGGGATTTTTGTGATCAATAACATTTAGCACGCATTTTTTTAAATCCTCAATACTGAGTATTGCTATCATTCAGAAGCTGGAAAGCAAAATTACCATTGTGTGAGAAGTTCAGTTTAGAAAAAAGTCTTCAAAATATTTTTGTGATCTAAACAGCCATTCATACATTGTGTGGTGAAATACAGAGTAACTAGAGAGGACAAGTTATGGCAATAAGTAAAATCAATATGGCCTTTGCCTGAAAGCCTAGACAAAAAAAAATCCCCATACACTTTTCTTCTATAATGATTTGTTGAGGCAATTATCATGCTATCCACTGAGTTAAAAAAATATTTTTTTATTTTCATATATGCCAAGTAATTACAAGTCTTAGTTACTCATCTGACAATTGTGATAATGCAGAAATGATGACAGATAACTGAAACTTTCAGCATGTCCCATCTCTAGGGAGGTGACAGATTCTCTCCCGCAAGTGCTGTCTGAACCCTGCTCGTGTCTCCTGCCCTCTGACCTGCTGCTCTCTGTTCTCGCTCAGCATCCTCTCCAGCTCCACAAGCTTCTCCTCAATCACCTCCTGGTAGACCAAGTTCATCTGCAAGCAGGTCTCTGCGTCTTCGGGCAGACCGAGGTCTTCATCACTCTCATCTCCACTCTGGCAATAGAGACACACTGATAAACTGACTTTCAGAAAACGAATTTTAAAAAATACTTAAATTACGCATTTTAGTCCATCTTAAATTCATGCGCTGCTTAATAAATCCAATGTGGTACCATTTATAGTCAGCCTTCCAAAAGACTTTTAGGAAAGCTTTATTCGTATCCAGCTAATCCTGCTCACGCAAAAGATGAATGACAATCTATTCAGACAGCATACAGCCAGGTTTGAAATTCAATAGCAAAACAGAAGAGGGTTTCATAGTGAAATTGTTTATCTTTATTACTTTTATATAAAAAGACTTACATTTGCACCTGTTTAAAATACCAAGTTCCAATTGGTGAAATACTTGGTACTTTACCTTGTCTCAAAGGTAAACAACAGAAGTGCATCACTTAAATTACAACCCAGAAGTTTCCAGTTGCAAGTTCAGAACTCGAACCACTGTTCTCCAGTGCTGTCCCAGTCTGGTTCAACTGGTGAACTAAAAACTGTTTTCAGTTCACAAAAACATCTTGATCCTTTGAAGCCAAGCAGAAAGTTCATACATAGTGATTACTTACTGTCCCCTGAGACACCCCTATGTCAGCACTGGCTCCATCTGTTTCAGAAACACAGACATCACTGTCAATTACAATATTACTATCGCACAATCACATTCTCCAAGCGTTTCCTTAAACGTCTACATCTGTTTAAGTTACGGACATAGAACAATTTTGCAATAACTTGATTTTAGACTTTTTTTTTAAAGGAAACAACACTGTAAATGTCCTGCTTTAGCTTGCGGGTAGGATGGAAAAGGGTCAGTAAAACATAAAAACCTTCTGCTCCAAGAAACCTATCTGGCAAACCTTTATGTTTTCATTTATAGAAACTCTCTACTTAAACAAATATAGCCAGTGCCAAACATGAGTCAGACAAAAAAGCATTCATGAATTAATAACTATTTTTAATTTAGCACAGTTTTTCTTCTCTTTTTTATAACTGGTTGCTTTTTAAATTTGCTCGATCTGTTTAGGACCTGCTGTCTGTGAAGTGTGTGTGGTTTTTTTCAAATGCGCTCTTTATGTTTAGGAAACTATACTAATTCCTACCCAAACATAAAGATGCTCTCTTGATGGAAATGCAACAGTGTACTGTAGAGTACATTAAAAGTCACAGCAATCGAAAAATAAAAATTCACAGTGCCTTGAAACCTGGAGTCTATAGGAGCATCTCCTGAGCCAAGACTGATTCTCTCTCTTGCTCTCTGAGTCTTTGGCATCTTGGTGGAAGACTCTTTGTTGGACTGCAGGGAAAAGGGGGTTGTAAGTATTCCTGTTGTCAACTCAAAAGAAATGTATAAAATATATTATTATGCGGCAATTTTCTGAATCTGACCAGGTCTGTCCACTGATGCCCACTGCTTTCTGAATCTTCATCTGAAAAGAGAATATTACAATAGCACAATTAACACTATTCTATGTCAAATGGTTAATTATCATGAAAAGTGCTGGATAATCTGTTACCTTAAAAAGTCGTTTTATAACTTTGCAAAACATAATAAATGCACCAGTACTTTTCTCTTCAAAATTCTTGTGTTATCCTCACTATATTCAACGGTCTTAGCAGGGCACAAAGGTTATAAATTCTTTATTTAAGGTTCTGTCTTGATACCAATTGGGTTACTTGCTCTATGAAATCCAAACAGTTTCACCTTACTAGATCATAACCTTGGAAAACAGTTTTATTTTTAGTTTCTTGTTGGAAATACAACACATATAGATTGTATTTAGGATGCCGTGCCTTTCTCGAAGTCGGACTCATCCTCGGTTTCTTCCAAATCCGACGAAAGCAGGTCGACGTCGTCAGATCTCGCATCCAGACTCTGTTCGAGCGCAGCGATTTCCCGCTGTATCTTCTCTCTCTCTGCATGTAAAACTCCGTAATCCATACCGCCCACCTGGAAAGTCAGAATAGTTGTCTTGCAAAACTGATAGAAAATTCAGCCGAAAAATTAACAAACAAACACAATTACCTCCTGGGTATCTATCTCATCTTACAACGTGCTATAGAACATGAGTATCACATAGTTATATTATCTTTAATTTTATTCGTACGTAGATACATAAATCAACTACATTGCTTGTTGCATAATGTATATAGGTAGGTATTTACTAGTTGGCTATGACTATTAGTAGGAATATTCATTACTCTTAAATTGCTGTATGACCCAGTAACTTAGGTAATATTGAAATATACTTATTTCATATCTGTTCCCTCCCAGCTATGAATTTCTATGAACACCTTCTAAATTGCTGTAAATTTGTAGGTTAACCCTCCGCTTACAACTTAAACCTGCTACTAAAACATGACTAAACTGAGATATGAATGTTGACAAGGTCTAAAAGTAATTATATAATAAATCATCAACATAAAAAAATATTGTCTATTATTTTCCAGGCTATTTTATTTTCATCCCTTTGCAAGTAACCATGCAGTGCATCTCCACAAGTTGGGTTAGTATCGGATACTCACATATACTTTTATCCAGAAACGTGAAACAGATGAAAAACTGAGTAAATCCCTCCGGCTAAGCAAAAATAACAAAACTGAATATAAGCACCTTACATCCCATTTGGTATTTTCGAAGAACTTACGTTTTGCAGCCTTACAGCCCACTTCATTTGCATATTACCCACAATTCCACCGCCAACCAAAAACACACATTTTCGAATCACTGCTGTTAGACTGCATTGCAATATGATATAATACTTTTATTTACAGATGTTAATACATACATGATTTAATTCATTCCTTGTTAGATAAATAGTTAACAATATGCTTTAAAGAAAAAGGTGAAACTGTATACCCATGATGCAACGGGTAAACAAATTTTCCCCGTCTGTGATTGGTTCAGAGCGTTTGACCTTCTTAGGCGGTACTGTTTTCAACTCGCTGCATGTTCTTTTCGTAGAAAGAACAAGGTTTCTCAAAATCTGGTTACAAATGGTGTTGGAATATATGGTGATGCAAATGTATTTCCCAGATATTGGTTATATAGAATTTGATTTAATAAATTTATTCATTTAAATTCGTTACTATTTTTGTTAGACTGCACAGAGCTACACAATCATCACTCCATACGATTCTATTTACTTTTTTATTATTAGTTTAGCATCTTTAAATTACATGATCACTTCTTATTGACATAAATAAAAAAATAATTTTCTCTGAAGATATTTAAACAAAATGGGCTGTTTAGAGTTGTCTAACATAACGTTCTATTTTACCACCAAATACAGGCAATTCTCTCTTTTTTTAGACCAAGCAGGGCCCGAGATATACAGATTTTGTAAAGTGCACGGTCCAGTCCAGACCTAAACCTTCTGAAAGAAATCAGACCTACATTTAATAACTGTGCTCAGTCTTTTGTCACCTTTCTATTTTTTACAAAAAGGTAATTTTTTAATTTTATGCACTCCAGCTGTAGGTTTTGTGACTTTTTCCACAGCCCTGCTTACCAGCTGAAGGTATTGAACTGTGCCAATAGGAACTGTCTTCATACATGCTGTGCCTTGTAGTTTAGGTATAGACAGTACTAGACACTCCAGTTATTTATATTAACCTAACTGAATGAAAATGCTCCCATTTGAATAAAACTAAGTACAGAATAATCTTCAAACATTCCTTTATGACAACCATCATAAACAAAAACTGCAATACACCATGGCACACAGAGGAAGAGACGTAAAGGCCAGATACAATTCGAATCAGGAGCTACAGTTTGAGATAGAGCTGAGAGTATCTTGGAAACTGCAAGTTCCAGAATTCTTATAGTTCAAAAAGGAAATGAGTTTCAGCTGAGCAAGCATGCTTACAGACCTGTGGAGAGGCTATCAGGAGAGGTATAAAAGAGCAACTAATGAACAATGATATTTTTACAGTAGGTGAAGTGCTTGGGAATGCTGAAAAGCAAAAGAAACACATTGGAGAAACTACTTGTTTGGAGGACAACCAGAAATGGACCCTGACATTTAACAAACCCTTTTTGTTTATACTGAACTGATTTATGTTGGTAACCATCCAGTCTCAGGACATGTAACACATGCTGTTCATGCTGCCTTTTTCTTTTTGGATTTTTTAGCTTTAAAGGCATTTGTATTACATTAAGCATTTTAGAACTGTGATATTTTCTAATTTACTTTGCAGTTATGAGTACCCGAGGTATCAATCATTGTTAATTTACCTTAATATGTAGTTTTCCATTAAAAAATACCAAAAATCAAATTTAAAAGTTTAGTCATATTTTCTAACTCAAAGTTAAATATGAACAACAAAAGTACTGATATTTAATAAAATTGCATCACCTGTATAAGCATTTTTTAAAAGATTTTAATTGCTCTTTATCCATTAATATTAGCAAATAGACATCCTTCCATTACAAAATAGTGTAAGAGTGCTTTTATTAATTCAGCATGGATTTCTCCTTGAAGTATTCTGATTTTCTGCATGTCCAGTGGAGTTTACCAGTCTTCACTTTGCATTTCTGACATTTTGTCAATGGACTGCAGTAATTGTGAAACCAGGGACAGTGTTTCTGCTCCAGACAATAACTGCCTAGGAGAAAAAAGAAGAAGAAAATAATTGATAATAGAATGTATCATGTAAGAATTTAAATCTTGTTACCCATTTTAAACATGGATATAAAGTAATAAAGTATAAAAAGAACAAATACTACCCATATTTACATGATCTAATACAGTACTACCTTTCGGGAAATAGTTTGTCAATAAGGGTTTAACCAATATATATAGGAACATAATAAAGTTTAAGACACTAAATCTTGATTCGTTTTAATAATTTGGTACTTCATGATTTAAGACTTTCTATTTCAATTCTAGTATCCCTTTAATAACAAACCTTTATTGATTAAGACTAGTCAATAGGGAACAAAAACTTATTTACAATCATTTATGGTGACCTAGAGCGTCCACATTCATACAGTTCATTTCAGTGGAGCAATGTGAGTACAACAACACCCCGCCTGTGGTTCAAACCCACATACCTTCTGGCTATAAATTCAGAGCCCTGAACACCACTATGCACTGCTGACCAAAAGCCATGTCATAGAGACTCACACAGGGTGTGCTTCAATAATGTGGCTTGGATGTTTGATCCAGACCTCAAAAACACTTAATCACAAGTAATGATCCATATTGTCGGTATTCCTCAGTATTACTACTCTTGTGAATTTTTTACCCTTGGGTCCTTCTGTTGTTGATTTAGAAGTGCCCTTTGCACAGACTTTGTTAATACCTTTGTTGCATGCCTAAATCGATCTGTAAGGTCATAGATATATTGTTTATTGCTATACAGTATAAATCATATTGCTTAGTTACATTTGCTGGCCTTGATTAAATCTGGCTACACAACGATGCAAAGTAAGAAATAATTCATTTTCAAATCCCATTGGTTTTACCACAAATATTGCAAGCCTAATTTTAAACACTATACTGTGCTTCTACAGTATATGTATATATACATACAATTTATATAGACATGGGGCTTCTGCTAAAGCCTTACTTTATAGATGTCTCTGCATTGTTCACGGCCTTGTTGAGATATTCTGAAGCCACCCTTGCATTCTGTTTCATTGTCGCCAATGCAGCTGATTCTCCAGCTCGAAGCCTTTCATTTTCCAACCTGTACACTTCTAACTGGCTCTGGGGAAATTGATGAGACAGATATCACTTCAGCTTTATCAGCATCACAATATACGGAGTGGTCATAACCTGCACTGGAAGCTGTTTAGGGACAATTGCACAGTCATTCATTCATTCATCATAACCCTACCCTCATTCTGTAAAATTTAAATCAATTAATCACAGACTTTGGCTTCCAGTCCATTTCCATCTGGTTCTTCATTACAAAAAGCCTTTAATTATGTGATACAATTCCCCAGAAAAACAGTAACATAAAAAACTTTTGGGGAAAAATCTTACACTTTCATGTTTTAGAAACATTGGTACCTTTCACCTGGGACCTCTTGATTTACAACAAAGTGTGTGGTTAAAAGTAATCGAGAGTGTTAGGGCTAATCACATCATAGTGCGTCTTCACTGTTTCTTAAGATGCAAAATTATTTTTTATGGGATGGAATATAACCTTTTACATAAACGACAATCCTGCTTCAAACCAACATTCACATATGTTGTGCTTGTGTTTCTTTTGAGAAACACTACAATCACCAGATGTCACTAGATCATGCTTGACAGATAACAGGCAGTGGACATGGTGTAAGTCATTGTACTCTTTGTCCTGAAGAAGAATGTGAAGGGAAAGAGCAAACACCATTTTTACCTAAAACACGTTTTACAAATTTTGAAAAACTGCAATGATAGATTATTGGCAAAGTTTCTCCTTTAAAGCTTTGATGAAGAAGAATCCTTTATTAGAGGATGTAAATGTAAAAATCTCAGAGAAAACATAACATAAAATAAAATGAATAAACTCTAGAATGCCATTATCCTTTAAGGTAAAATTTATAGTCTTTGTATTGCAGTTACAATTAGATCAATAATTTCATTTCTATATCACACAAAAAAACTTAAGTTGAACCATTCTCACATATTAAATACCCATAGAATAAAATCACTTTAAGGACAGTTGTACACTGGAATGGAATTTAACAAGATATAACATAATTCTCTTTCATACCTGTAGCTGAATGATTTCCTGTTTTAATTTTGCAACACTATTTTCGGCTTTAACAGCCCGTTTCTGGCAAGACAAAAAGTGAATAATTAAACAAATGTTTAAATATTCAGTAAAAGCTTAGTAATTACTTGGAAAATTATTTGGGCCAATATACTACATTTCTGCAGTTGCCAGTAGCAGGGGCAGTATCACCCTGCAACTTACAATTGGCAACCCACTGAAGCTCAGCAGGTGTGAGCCTGGTCAGCACCTGGATGGGAAACCTCCTGAGAAAAACTAAGGTTGCTGCTGGAAGAAGTGTTAGTGAGGCCAGCAGGGGGCGCTCACCCTGCGGTCCATGTGAGTCCTAATGCCCCAGTATAGTGACGGTGACACTATACTGTAAGCAGCCGCCGTCTTTCGGATGAGACGTAAAACCGAGGTCCTGACTCTCAGTGGTCATTAAAAATCCCAGGGTGTTTCTCGAAAAGAGTAGGGGTGTAACCCTGGCATCCTGGCCAAATTTCCCATGCCTCCTAATAATCCCCCTCTATGAATTGGCTACATTACTTTGTTCTCCCCCCCCCGACGGCAGGCGGAGTGACGCGCCAGTTGGAGTATTCTCGGTCGCATTTAATGGGAACGTCAGCTCAAAGATTTGGTTCAAACCACCAAATGGAGACGGGCGTGCCGACAAGCGGACCCTGCTGATGCAGGATTAACGCTAGGATGAGAGAGACTACATTTCTGCAGTTGCAAACAAGGGAACAGTGGACTATGAATGAGTGAAAGACATTCTAAAGCATCTATAAATTAGTGATCTGGGTGCATTATTGTATATACTGTAGGAGTTTTTGTTTAAAATGCATTTAATGGACAGTCACAACTGTCACCTACAAAGACAAGAACTGAATCACAGTTGCATACCGTCATTAGCTGGAGATTCTGTTCCACAGACTGGACCATTGATTCCAAAGCTTGAGTTTCCTTTTCTTCTTTAACTGTTCTTTTGTGCAGCTCATCCATCAGCTGTTTAGCTCTGAGCGAAGAGGAGAAAGATTCAAGCCAGGGTGCTGCATGATCACTCAGCACAGATGAGATCCAGCAAGAGTTTGAATGAACATCTTCAAAACAGGAAAGTCTGAGGCTGAAAATGTGACGATATCTGTTTCGTTGTTCTGTATTCTGAGTTTGTGTCTGGCAAGATCAAAGTTACGGAAAATGGACATTTTACTGAGAAAAATTGTTATTTTTTTTATGCAGCTCCCACTACAAAAAAACACTGTTTATAATTTTTGTTAAAGTATTCCTCTAAAAAACTTTTCTTCTTATTATGCTGCAAAAGTAATATTCAGAACTAGAAATAACATTGTTCAACAAAACCTATGTTATAATACCACAGCTTTTAAAAGCTGCTAAAAAAAGACATGACAGGGAATATAGAATTACCCTTAGTTTTGTTTATGAAATATGTTCAGCATGCATTATAGATGTTGATGATGTCCTTCTCTTACTTACCTTTCATTTTCAGCTTTTGACTTTTTTTGCAGTTCTTTAACCTGCTTCCACAGCTGTACATTCTCTTCTTTAAGCTTAAAAAAAAACAATAAAATGTATTATAGCTATCTATTGATGCAATGGTTGTATGCATCACATTGCATAAGAACAATCCTAACCAGGATAAAGAACAGAAAGCTTTTGATTTCCAGTAAATGTACATTGCATTAGAGCACAGAAATGAAAGCCTTAATTACTAATAATTTGGTCACATTCTCCTTTATCCTATTTCCACCTTACAGTATGACCAAAATACCACCTTCTGATGAGAAACTGCCTTCTCATTGCTCCTCTGTGGCGATTGGTAAGAATTATCTCCAGTCGGAATGTCCTGGTCCTTGTGATGACTGCCTGTGCCTTTTCTAATCTGTTTGATCTCCTCCTGATAAGTGTTGTCCAGTCGCCACGAAGTAACTGTGCCGCCACCCATGGAAAGCTCAGAGGACACTGAAGTGTAGGGTGCATAGGGTGTGCTATCTGCAGTGCTGCACAGCCCAAATTCATGAGCCTCTTCAATGATGGAGGGCTGGTAACTACCGCTCCAGTCTTCATCATCATCCTGGTCATCCTCCAGAGACTGGGAGATCAAGCTGGGGTCTGGAAAAAACGGTTCTTGGAAGTCCAGGCTGAAGTTGTAGCTCTTGGGAGAAGTACAGCCCTCTTCCACTAAAACACTATTGCCAATGTTTTTCTGCAAGAATAGATGAACATTATTTTATGTGATTTGTAAACATATTTCAGCAACAAGAAAGTGCATCAGGCATCCATACAAATGCTACATTGTGCTGAATTATTCTTCACATAATACATATAAATGGATCAATATATTACATTAATCGATAGGGGAATATGTTGTATTACCTCACTCTTCTTCTGTAAATTGGTGCAAATGCATTATAAATTATAAGGTTTTTAATGTAAATGCCTATTGAAGCACTAGTACATTAAATTGGTATGTTAAATCATGGAGAGCAAGCTGGGGTACATGAAAAGACAAATCCCTAATGCAAGAAATTGTATATGGCTAATAAAGTGATCTTATCTTATCTCTTATCTTATAAATGTAAGCAAACACATTTTGTGAATTTGAAAGTAATTATTGCTTGAGTGCAAATCATGGGAAATATTGCAACTGCAGTCACTTTTTCTCCTTTTCTGGCCTGTTGATGTTTTGATATTATACCTTTCGTGATGGGTTGTAGCTTCTCTTCCCAGCTGTGTCTTGTGTAGAGTCGGATGACTGGCTCTTGCTTCGTATGAACTCTTTGAAAGAGAATGGATTCAGCTCATCTGCATCCCCATGAGCTTCATCTAGATCAAACATGTTAAATTAACATGTTAAATTCTAGAGCCTGGGTATTATCTCATACACACATGCACAATGTTGAAGACCAAAACATTTTATCTTCCATATGACGGCCACCTGATTTGGAACTGCCCGTCATGATTTTAGTTCTTGGCTCAAAGCAAGAACAGATTTGCTTGTATGACCCACCCTGCAATGAGACATATACTGTACATATGGCACATTTCTAGAACTACAACGTTCCCATTCAAGATATTAGAGTTGTTGCATTAGGGTTGTTAATTTAGTTTTTTACCAAAAGTTATGTTAAAACAGAATAAATTAGTCTTTCTTTAACTGTTGCAACTTTTAATCTCCCTCTGCAAGGGATTTAGAGCAGAGGTAGTTACATATCAATGAATCTAAAGCCAACTTCTGTTACCTAAGAAAGAAAAAGACACACTCAGAAACATCGAAAAACAGGACAAAACCACACAGAACATGTCAAGAAGTAATTGCATATCAAAGAACAGGACAAGCACTCAAAGTATGAAACACCAACTCTTTCCTGAGCTGGTTCTGCATATAAGAGATGTTTTGTGTCACAGGCCCAGTGCCATTTTGCTGTACTTACTGAGCTCAATAAAAACTGAATCTGCAGAAGACTGTGTCCTGCTTTTCTGAGGAAGGATTTCCCTCAACAAACCCACTCATGCAGGTGCCTAAGAGGATGCAGGATCTGTTTCCCGGAAAGCCAAGAGAAAACTGGAACACTAACTCTGACTCAATCCCTGGCAGCAGTCTGCAATTTTTGCACCCCTTCTTGGATAATAGGAAATAGGAATTTAAAAAACAATCTATTTACTGTAGCTATTCAGGTATTTCAAATATTAAGTGTGAAACACCCTCATCTGTTGTATGTATCCATCAGATTAAACTGTAAATCTCAACACTGACTCTGACTGAAAATACTAAAACTACTGTCTGTTGCACCCTCTTACTTTTCTAAAAATTAAAAAACTGTAATTTAATAATGACGTCTTTCTGTCCTAACTACGATGTGCCTCTGTGTCTCATGGAGAGCAAGCTGGGGTATGCGAAAATACTAATTCCTAATGCAAGACATTGTATGTGGCTAATAAAGTGATCTTATAATGCACATCTTTAACATTTATGACTGATCATGAAACCCAGAAATTTCCAAAGACCATACTGTAAGGTGATCTGCATCGCTTGTAAAACAGATAATACATTGATCAAGGAACAGCCCTTAATGACAAGTAATAATTACAAAACTGATACACTACATATTGTGCTGTAGAGTGAACTGCACACTTAAATACAAGTGCACAAGTATTGGCTCAGAATACCTATTTACAACAGAGTAGTAAGTACTCCTCACTTGTGCGTAAACGCAAAACTATCATAGGTAACTACATTATTTTCAAAATTAATAAGGGAGCGGATTCTGTGTGACACCAGAGAACGAAAAACAGACAATTGCTGAAGTGCTGCTCGTCCACTGCAGGGTACGTACATCAGTCCTGACTCAGCACTGGAACGAAAACATTGAAAAAGCCTACAACACCCGCAATCATCCCCACCGACGAAGCTTTAAAAATAAATGCTGTATCCATAATAAGTCGCGTTAAAGAGAAGAGAACTTACCATCCTCAATTATTAGAGTTTTGGCGGCAGCTGTGTGCTTTGACATGATGTTTTGCTTAATATCGACTTAAAACTAAGTATCAGCAATATAATCAAATCATCAATGCCTGTCCAAGATCGCAGGACATGCCATTTTTGTTTCAGCTATCTTTAAAAATAATCATACAGCTTAATTATAATTGAAGGATCTAAAACATATTGCTAGATGTACCAGAGCAGTTCCCATCATCATACTTGATACCCTACAGGAAGCACAAGTAAATGCAAGTAGACGAATTTTAGATAGAAACTCATAAACTGCTTTTAAATATTTTTTTTCACATGACAAAAACTTTAAAAACACTTTCTCGTGTCAAACGGAAACGTCAATAATCTCGAGTGCACTTTCAATCACGTGACAGTACCCGTATCACATGACCTGTACAGTAACTTCCTGGAGGGTACAGTCCGTGTCTCATGGACTGATCGCAGCTATGAATAGCGACATTGGGTTCAGAATTTCAGTGAGTTTTAGGACAGGCGGTACGACTAAACAACGAGCGAAATAACGAGTAAAGTCCGTTAATTTTTATTTTTTAAATTTCTTGAAACAGTTGTAACGGAAACGTTAGTCGTTACGCTTTATTTTAATTCTACACTTTGATTCCAGTTTTGTTTTGTGTATTAACATTTTCATTGATTTAAAAAATAAACAGAACAAATATGACGGACCTGACCATATAATGTTTTTTTTTTTGTAAAAAATGAGGCTACCTGTATGTATTTTGTTACAGCTTCCACTGACTGTAACATTTAAGAGAATTTTATGAGATGTAATAAATTCATATTCCCAAACAAATACAACATCAGAGTTCTTTTATGCGCTATATTAGAACAAAACTGGATGTATGAATTCTTTAAAGACTACAGTTTTTTTACTTTGACGAAAACATTTACGTATTCCTAGCACTTTAAAATACCCTAGTTCTATTTTAAAGGGGGAGAATACTAAATTTAACACAGTTTGCACTATTATTGCATTTGTAACATACGAGGAATTGTTTTTATAGGCCTAACACTACCATTAAGATGAATGTTTCAATTTTAGAAAAGCGAATTTAGAAAACGCTTTGCTAGGAGGTTGCTTTGGAATAATAATTGAGGCATTTGTTATAGCATGCCAGAAACAAAGATGGTAACCAATATTACACATTTCTTTCCTGTGTCTACGGCAGTGGCTCTGCCCCTAAGAAATATGTCTGCACCCATGAACATGTTGTGTCTTGCAGTTATATAAGACTTCACGAGCATAAATTAGTAACGTTTTAGCTGCTCATTTTTAAGCATATTACGGTACGCTTGTTTCACGTTTTTCCGCTAATAAGCGACACAAGGATTAATGCTGACTACAGTCAAGAGACGGGAGGCGATGGGCTGGTGTTGTTCTGTGTTTTTGTGACTCAACTTCCTGGGTGGAGGTGCTGTGGTGAGTGAGGATAGTGGACGGATAAAACGCTGCACCACCGGGGAAACAAAAGAAATGTGTGTTTCAGAATATAAGGCAAAATTACTGTGACAGCCGGGTGAGTTACGCCTTTAAATTTATTCCTTTTTAGCTTGACTAGTGTGCTGCACAAGCAGAACAGGTTTCTAGTATCGCATTGGGATGAACATTTTCGGTCGGGTTGCAAGTATGAATTTGGTGGTGCTGAATTTTGGGACAGCAATTAACAGAAAGGGTATGTGTTTGGAACTACCAAGAGAATTTATTTCTGAGTCGAGGTGAACGCCCGAAAGGATATATAGTAGTAATTTAGCCGGTAAGCCGTTCGAGTGCTGTTCCGATGCATTTATTCTTTTGGTTTCTTTTAATCCGTTTTTGTCTAATCACACTAAACAATAGAAGAGTTTTAATCAGACTGCTCATGTTCATTGACACGAATTAATTACTGACTTCTTAAATTCAAGAGATCTTCGTTCGTGTTAAGATACAGTTTTAAGTAGATGTATTAACATAACCAGTTTTAAATGAAACGTACAGTTACTCGATTCACTCAGAAATGCCTCCTTACCACGTAACATGGGCATGCTACAAAATATATAGATATATAATTAAATTATTAAATGGAGGTTGTCGTTGTTTGTGGAATTTAGAACATACATTGTTGCCTTTGGGTTGGTTGTTAAATGTAGCTGTTCTGTACATGTTGCCATACTATGATACTACTTTGTCACCATACTGCATTACAGATTTAGTTAATTGAGTGTGAATTCGGTGCCTTAGCCCTTATCAAGTATGATATGATGCAATCTGCGCGACAGAGATATAGTACTCGAAGCCGCAGAACCGAAATGAAAGGCGTTGTAATTTCTCTTGAGGTGCTGAATGCATTCATGAAGTACAACTTCTCAGTGGGGCTGTTTTTCCTTTCATTGTCATACGTTAGGGTACGGCAGTGAAAGTTTATTTTTTTATAAAAAAAGAACCCCGAAAATCTCTTGAAACCATTTGCTGCGCAAATCAAACATCCACCCACTGTGTACCAAGCAATTTTTTTATTGATTGGTTTCCTGCAGCTACTGAATCTGATCCCTCAGTGTGTCTTTAATTTAACTATCCACATTTTGCTTTCGTCGTGTTTTTGTTAAAATGAAATTTCTCGGCTACCCCCTGAAATCCAGTGTTCAACAGGAATCTTTTAAAATCAGTACGATACATAGAAAATAGTCAGAGATCCAGTTCAGTGGGAGTTAAACCAGGCATTGCATATGGCCTTTGAGAACAAAAGCTGATGACCTCTGGGACATAAGGTCTGCTCGGATAATTTGTGAAATGTAAACTTTTATGGATCAAGTACACAAGGAGTCAATATCTGCTTTCCCCCACACTGCCTCAGAGGAATCTCTGACTTCACAGTTGGGGGTGTGGGAGTCATTCAGTGTGAATAACCCACCATTTCTGTGGTCTTTCAGAAAGATAACCTACAGTGAAAAGAGTCTGTGTGGTCCTTTTGCTATTTAAATTTATAACCTCAGGGAGCTAGTTTGAAACCAACCTTGTTTCACTCAACTGTTTAAATCCCTTTGTCTACAGAGATAAATATTTTGGTGGCCCTTATAAAACTCATGTTCCTTAGAAACAGGGTTAGTGCTTGTACTTGGTAGAATTGTCAGGACTACACAGGATCTCTTTCATTAAATTCCTAAATCTTTGTAGAATTTCAATGGAAATCTTTCTGTAGGAGTGTCTCCTTGCCTTTTCTGAGTCCTGTCCAAGAACTAACATAGCCAATGAAGCGTGTGAATCCAGCCCACATCAGGGGTTAGTTATGGGCGGAGAGCTCAAGTGCAATCTAGCTGTGGTTGCACCTCTGCACTACCTCTCAATTTTAATCACCACAGAAATCTCCCACGGCTTTAATTGCACACCACTCGTGCTTTAATTTGAATGACGACGGTCTCAGAAACTGAAATTCCAATTCCAGGGTCACCGTTCATGAATATGCAAGGTGTTCAAAGTCCACTCCTTTGCAAAATGATAAAAAAGCAGCTCTTTCATTTCAGAAGACATGGCTGCTCTTGACTTTCATTTAGGGAATGAAGCCAAGGGGCAGCTGGAGCCGATCGTTAACTCTTCTCTTTTGGTTTAGAGCGGAGGTTGGCCCACATGGCGCAGAGGGAGAGCTGGGTTACTGGTGATTGTCGGATTCACACACACAGGCGTGTCTCCCTCGTGCACCACCAAGCGCTGGAGTTCAGATAACGCTGCCAACAGCATTGGGGTGAGTGTGTTTGTGTTAATCGGATTTCTGGGGTTTTGAGAAGATTCGTTGCAGTAGAATCTGTCTGTCAATGGGCTGGTATTTTGATTTGAAGTCAGGTCAAGGTATTCCTTTTTTTCATGTAGTTCTCCTTTTCGTGCATGGTCTTTTCCCCTCAAATCTATGCATAAGCCATGGGGCCTGGAGACACCCCTTTCTGAACCTTACCCCTGTGGTAAGAGTTCATCTGAACCTGTCAGCTGTTTTTCAGTTTCGCACAGATCATTTAATAAGGAAGACACAGTGGAAACACTGTATTTGTGCTTATTTTCCTTTCCATCTCTAATCAGCCTTTGAAGGTCCAAAGCTAATTCACAGTTTTTTTTTAAGTGATCATCAGCAGAAGATAGTACAGAAGGGGACACATTTTATGGAGCTGATATTTCTATAAAGAAATGTTATTAAAGGAAAAATGATGATTCTGCAATTAGGCACTCTGGGGAAAAATGTGATTAACGTGCAAGTTTGTGGGAAATGGCTTCTTTTGCAAAAAAATAAGTTTGATCTTGACTGGCTGTTCTGGTATGGTGCTGTGTTCTCTTCGAGGTCACAGAAGTGGGACGCTAAATAAACTATTAACAGAATGGCTTCTTAGCAACCCTTTCTCAGTGCTCAGCCATGTGGAGTTTTATAGCCTAGTCTTTTTCACAGGCACTAGCTAGTAGGAATTGTCTTGGACAGTCGGCAAATTGGAAAGATAACTAATCCTTGTTTTTGCTGTGGAGCATCCAAAATATTGTCAAGAATTGAAGATTTCCATGAAATCACCATGAAAGTGAAACGCAAAGTTCCAGAGTGGTCTCTTCCCTCTGCATATATTTTTATTCTCTTTGACAGCTCTGATTAGTAAAATAAACTATTTAATGTGGCTGGACATCTCAGAGTAGATGTAAAGTAAAAAAAATAAAGGTTTTTATCTCTGATATGTTCTTGCCCTATGTATTTTACAGTATTCAAATTTACAGTGCCATTCCATTTTTGTTTGAATGAATGTAACATTGTCAGACCAGTTGAATCCATGTTGCGTTGTTGACCATTAACCGTCCTTTGAAAGAAACTATTTGCGAAACACTAGCTGGCTATTAATCAGTGCTCAGACAAATCTCTGGCCATCCAGATGACTTTGTAAAAGTATCGTATGTCTGTGACATTATGATTTGTAAATGTGACTTTGTGCTGCACAAACTTGTACTGCTGCATTCCCTGAAGTTCTTTTTACATATTTGTATACAATTGGATTTTTTATTATAAGATAAAAGTATTTTATTTTCCAGAAAAGCTGTAAAAGAATAATAACTTTGCCTT